GTATTCTTTCACCATACTTATTCAACCTGTATGCTGAGCAAGGAGCTCTGGTAGCATAGTGATCAAGATCAGCAGTTCAAAACTCAAGATCTAACCTCAAGATCAGCAGTTCAAAACTGCCAGCTGATCCATGGGAGAAAGATGAGGCTTTCTGCTCCCATAAAGATTTGCCGCCTCGGAAACCCTGTACACGGTCACTGTGAGTTGGAACTGACTTCATGGTACTTAACAACAACAATGCTGAGCAAATAAACTGAGAAGCTGGGTTCTATGAAGCTAAATGTGGCATCAGGATTGGAGGAAGACTCATTAACAACCTGTGATGTGCAGATGATACAACCTTGCTTCCTGAAAGTGAAGAGGACTTAAAACATTTACTGATGAAGGTCAAAGAGCACAGCCTTCTGTATGGATTGCATCTCAATGTAAAGAAAACAAAAATCCTCACCACTGGACCAATCAATAAACAACATTCTTATCGATGGAGAAAAGGTTGACGTCAAGGACTTCATTCTTCTTGGATCAACTATCAACAGTCATGGAAGCAGCAGTCAAGAAATTGTTGCTTAGGCAAATCTGCTCAAGACCTTTTTAAAGTGTTGAATAGGAAAGATGTCAGCTTGAAGACTAAGGTGCGCCTGACCCAAGCCATGGTATTTTCCATAACCTCATATGCATACAAAAGCTGGACAGTGAATAAGGAAGACCGTAGAAGAATTGATGCTTTTGAATTTGATGTTGGAGGAGAATATTGAAAGTGCCATGGGCTGCCAAAAGAACCAACAGATCTGTGTTGGAAGAAGTGTAGCCAGAGTGCTCCTTGGAGGCCAGGATGGCCAAACCTAGTTAGCTCTCATATTTGGACATATTGTCAGGAGGGACCAGTCTCTGAAAAAGGATATCATGTTTGGTAAGGTGGCGGGTCAGAGAAAAAGAGGAAAACCCCCAGCTAGATGGATTGACAAAGTGGCAGCATCAATGGGCATCTGTTGTGTATAGGGTCACTGAGTCTGTACCGACTCCATGACACCTAACAGCAATATGATAGCTGGAACTGAGGTTCACTTGGTAGGGCCAGACCAAATGATGTCAGAGGCTGGATATTCCCCACCCCTTTGCATAGTCAGTAAAGCACAGGTAAACATCTTTCTGGTATTCTCTGCTTTCAACTAAGCTCCATCTAACGTCATCTATGATCATTCCTCACTCCACGTCCGATTTTGAACCTGGCTTGAATTTCTGGCAGCTCCCTACTGATGTGCTGCTGCAACCGCTTTTGAATTCTATCCAGCAAAATTTTGGTTGTATATGATACTAATGATATTGTTCGATTGGCGCATCCTGTTGAGTTATCTTTCTTTGGATTGGACACAACTATGGATCTCTTCCAATCAGTTGGCCAGGTACCTGTCTTCCACATTTCTTGCCAACAAACTGATACAGCTTCTAGCACTACATTAGTTTGTTGAAACATTTCAATTTGTATTGAATAATTTACTGTAATCTTGTTTTTCACTAGTGCCTTCAGTGCAACTTGGACTTAATCCTTCAGTACCATTGATTGTTGACCTTTGGCTGCCTACAAATGGTTAAACTTCAACTAGTTCTTTTGGTACAGTGACTGTTTACATCTTTTTTTATTTAAAAAAAATTTTTTAAGTTGTGAATTGAGTGCCAGTTTATATGGGAGAGAATTGGTTTTGCACTCAACCAATCGTATTTTGTTTCTTTGCAATGATTATAATCCCCTCCATGTACCATTGGTTAATAGTATTTGCTTCTATTCCCTCTTTTTTTTTTTTTTTTTGATGTACACAAAAACACACAGGAATGTATAATCGCTTAAACCACCAAAGGACACCTTTTGCAAGCCAGCCTCCTGCCTGCCTGCCTTTCTGTTTCCATTAGTCTAGAGTCCCCAATTGCTCCATTTCTCCATGCCATCACCTCTGCCTCCATCTCTGGTGTCTTTGCTTCTCTGGTTAGGATCCCATGTTCCGCTCATGCTCTTCTCTCCTAATGGTCCTAGGGTCCTCTGTTCCTGAAATGTAAGATTAATTACTTCCCCCTTTTTGTTATACATCTTCTACCTCTACAGTTATGTCAATTGCAGTTAGTCATGAAAAGAGTTACTCACTATTGAATCAAAAGAATCTTATCCCCTCTCTTTTAACTAGACCCATCTAGGCAAGATGAAAACTATTCATTAGGGATTCTGCCTTTCCCCCTTTGCTCTGAAACTAAAGTCCCTCTTGAAAACTTGTAAGCTAGCCACTTTGTGCTTGTATAGCCCCTCCATTTTAGGTTGCCAATGTCTTTAAGTTACCCATCTCTATCTTCTCTGCTGTGTCTTCCATCTTCCTTTGATGCTTCCCACATCATTCAATATTTTGCCCATTCAGTATTGCAGCCTGAAGCCTGAATTTTTTCTTCTGTTCTTTTAGCTTGAGAAATGCTGAGTGTGTTCTTCCCTTTTGGTTTTCTAACTCCAGGTGTTTGTATATTTCATTATAATACTGGACTTTGTATTCTTAAGCTGCCATTTGAAATTTTCTTTTCAGCTCTTTTACGTCATCATTTCTTCCAGTTGCTTTAGCTTCTCTACACTCAAGAGCAAGTTTCAGTGTCTCTTCGGACATTCACTTTGGTCTTCTCTTTCTTTTCTGTCTTTTTAATGATCTTTTGCTTTATTCATGTTTGATGTTCTTGATGCTATTCCACAACTTGATGCTATTCCTCCTGGTCTTGGATCATTAGTTTCTAGTTCATCAAATCTGTTCTTGAGATAGTCTTTAAATTCAGGTGGGATATATTCAAGGTCAGTTTTGATTCTTGTGGACTTATTTTAATTTTCTTCAGCTTCTGTCTGAACGTGCTTGTGAGCAATTGATGGTCTGTTCACAATGGGCCCTGGCTTTGTTTTGGCTGGTGTTAGTGAGTGTCTCCACCACCTTTTTTCATAGATGTAGTTGATTTGATTCCTGTGTGTTCCATCTGATAAGGTCCACATGTATGGTCACCATTTATGTTGTTTAAAAATGGTATTTGCAATGAATAAGTTGTTTTACAAAATTCTGTCTTGGGGTCTCTAGCATCATTTCTATTACCAACGCCATAATTTCCAACTACTGATCCTTCTTTGTTTTCATCTTTTTCATTCCGATCACCAGTGATTATCAGTGCATGTTTTCTAACAAACAGGAATTTATTCTCTCGTGGTTTATAAGGCTAGGAATCCTAAATCAAAGTAAGGGTTCTGAGGAAAGGTCTTTGTCTCTGTTCAGCATCTGTAGGCCCAGCACTCCCTGGAGACCTCCATGTGTCTTCATATCTATCAATCTCTCCCTGGATCTTGGAGTCTCACATGATAGAAACCCCAGGTCCAAAGAACACGTACCCATCCTGGGTCTTTCTTGGTGATAGCGTTTTCCTCTTTCTCTGCTAACATGTTGTTGCTGTTGTTAAGTGCCTTTGAGTCGGTTCTCTCTGCTAACATATCTCTCCTTTTATCTCTTGTGAGATAAAAGGTGTTTCAAGCTAAACCTTTGGGAATCTCCAGTACATTGCATCAGGGTCATGGTGGGAATAATTATGGTTGTGTTATATCTATCCCTTAATCCTCTTATTGAACTCCTAGTGTGGTGCTGTAGGATAAGCACAAGGTCAGCAGTTCAAACACACCAGCTGCTCCTCAGAATCCCTATACAGGTTCATTATGAGTTGTAACCGACTTGACGGCACTTAACAATAACAAGCCATTTATTTATCACATCAGACCACATAACTGCCAAATCACTGAGGGCTTAAAATACTTTCTGATAAAAAGTAAATACTACAGCCTTCAGTATGGCTTGCACCTCAATGTAAAGAAAACAAACATCCTCAATAAATAACATCATGATAAACAGAAACGATTGAAATTGTGAAAGATTTCAGTTTGCTTGGATCCATAATCTACACTCATGAAAGCAACAGTCACGAAATCAAATGGTATACTGCATTGGGCAAATTTGTTGCACAAGACCTCTCTAAAATGATCAAGTGCAAAGATCATCAGTTTGAGGACTTAAGGTGCGCCTAACCCAAGCCATGGTATTTTTAATCACCTCATATACACGTGAAAGGTGGACAGTGAATAAGGAACACCACAAAAGAAGCAATGCATTTGAATTATGATTTTGGAGAAGAATATTTAAAAATACCACAAACTTCCCGAAAAACAAAGAAGTCTGCTGGAAGAAGTACAACCAGAATGCTCCTTAGAAGCCAGGATTGCGAGTCGTCTTCTCTCTTACTTTGAACATGTTATGGGGGAGACCAGTTCCTGGAGATGGACATCATGCTGAGTAAAGTGGAGGGTTGGTGAAAAAGAGAAGAAAGGCCCCCAGTGAAATGGATTGATACAATGGGCTCAAATATAACAATTGTGACGATGGTGTAGGATTGGGCAGTGTTTCAGTTTGTTGTCATAGGGTCACTATGAGTCAGTTCTGCCTCTGTGGCACCAAACAACAACAGTTACTAAGCGAACTTATCTGCAGCCATCCGCTGATTGCAAAGACATGTGTGTAAACACCTTTTATTTGGAATCAGCCCATGTATGTATGAATTGGAACCCTGAGCAGTATTTTTCACTTATCCTCATATATACATTATAAGAAATTTCTTCATGTTTTTATAGTGTTAATTTAGAATTTAGGTTTTGATCTATTTTTATTAAAAACTAAGAATTGATCATGGCACAGGATATTATAATAGTTAATGGTAAAGAAAAAATTTATACTAGATAAATTTAAAATTCAGGTCAGAAATTGTATCACAGTGCCAAAAGAATTTTAAGACTTTTTGATTTATAGCTTTATTATTTAAAGTTATGTATTCCCTTCCTTTTCAGGAACAATTTTTGCATATGGACAAACTGGAACAGGCAAAACTTTCACCATGGAAGGTGTTCGAGCTGTTCCTGAACTTAGAGGAATCATTCCAAATTCATTCGCTCACATATTTGGTCATATTGCAAAAGCAGAGGGTGATACAAGGTAAAAAAAAAAAAAAAAATTACTATTTCCTAATTCTGAGAAGTATAAGCATAAGGACAGACAAAGGCATAAATTTTCTAAATACATTTTTAAATTGTTCTTCATAAATATTTTTTTGTGTTTTTTAAAATAATATTTTATTCATAGATTTTTGGTTCGAGTGTCTTACTTGGAAATATATAATGAAGAAGTACGTGACCTTTTGGGCAAGGATCAGACACAGAGGTTAGAGGTAAAAATAAATGAAACTTACTTGAGTATTTTCCTAAGCAATAAAATGCTTGTCTTAATAAATTAAAGTCTTTTTTTGTATAAACGTTAATATCAATATTTCACTTATTTTTTGACCAGGTAATACAGCCAGTGTTGTGAAGTGCCATCAAGTCAGTTCTGGCTCATAGCGACCTTGTATAGCGTTTCTGAGGAGCGGCTAGTGTATTTGAACTGCCGACCTTGTGATTCAAATGACCTTGTGGTCCAGTGCATTTTCCCACAACACCATGTGGTACACAAAATCAAATACAAGAAATTACAAATTGAAAAATGTTGTTCCAGTCCCATTTATCTCCACCCTAAGATAATCACTTTTAGTGTTCATTTACAGCAATACAAATACATTTTTTTACAGTACTATATATGTAGGATGGACTCCTGGTGTGGCACTGTGGGTTAATGCATTGGACTGCAAAGTTGGTTTGAACTGCAAGGTTGGCGGTTCAAGCTGGTCCTTGGAAACCCTATTCAGGGTCACTATGGGTCAGAACCAACTCAACGGCACTTAACAACATATACGTAGAATAAGCACTGGACTGCTAATCTTAAGGTTGGGAGTTTAAAATCACCAGTAGCTCCACTGGAGAAAGATGGAGCATTCTACTCCTGTGTTCTTTTTTGAGGAGTCCTGGTGTGGTGCTGTGGGTTAATACATTAGACCGCAAAGTCGGTTGAAACCACAAGGGCAGTCGTTCAAGTTCACCAGCTGCTCCTAGGAAATTCTATATGGGATCACTGTGGACTGGAACCGATAAAATGGCACTTAACAATATATACTATATACAACTTTTTTAAATGGAAATTTTTATTGAGGTAAATATAGATTCCTTGCAGCTTGAAGACTGAATACAGAGAGTTCCCATGTACTCTTTACACAGTTTTCCCCGTAGCAACATTTTACAAAGCGGTATTACAACCTAAATATCAACAGTGATACAGTCACAGATATTACCCTTGTTGTGCCCAGTTTTACCAATTCTCATTTTCATTTGATTCTGTGAAGTGTGTAGGTTTTCTGTATCCACAGAAAAGGTCCTGAAAGTTCCTTTTTTTTTTCCTTCTAAATTTTATTTTGTTGTTAGAATATACACCGTAAAACATACACCAACTCAACAGTTTTTACACATACAACTTAGTCACATTAATTACATTGTTCTGGTTGTGCAACCATTACCACTCTCGTTTTCTGAGTTGTTCCTTCTTCATTAACACACACTCATTGTCCCCCTCAGGTCCTCATGTTGCCCTTTTATAACCACATGACCACCTCCTCTCCCGCCTACTCATGTCCCTAACATCTGGCAGCACTGAATCTGTTTTCACTTCTGTGTTTTGTCATTTAAAACATGTATATAAATGGGATTCTGCAATATGCAGCCTTTTGGGATTCAATTTTTTCTTTTAGTCTGCATAATTTCCTGATGATTCATCCAGTTTGTTGAATGTATCAGTGGCTCGTTATTTTTATTGTTGAATAATATTCCGTGGTTTATATATGACAGGGCTTAAAATTTCATGGAAAAATGGAATGAAAAGGTAAAGGAATTTTTTCTTGAACTTTTTGAAGCCCTCTTATATATTCATCTATTGAAGGACACCTGGGTTGTGTTTAGTTTTGGCTGTTAAAAACAAAGCATCAGAAGCTAGGCAAATCATTGCGGTGCCTGGCCCTTAAACGTGCCATGTGCCTTTGCTCTCATGTCAAGAATCACTGCACTAATAGGAATTGTTACCTTTTTTTGCCCTGCCCACCATGTAAATCAACTGTCTAGGGATATTAGTCTCACTCATACGATCCAAGAGTAAATAGATAAAGATTTACAAAATAGACTAAATGCTTTAGAGAAAGGAACATCACTTAAGGGAAATAAGACTCAATATATCCAGATTACACTCCCAGCTAAGGTTATTCACGGTATAAGTAGATTTGTGTTATCTTTCAGTAATCCAGAACTTGATTGGAACTTAATTCAACAGCATTTTAGGAGGTTGTTGAATAATACCCACTTGTCTGTGGATATTCATCAGCTACATGCTCAAATTTCTGATATAAGTAATTCTCAAAGTGAGCACTGAGTGGCTACTAATTTGCTACCCCTGCTAGAGAGTAAGATCCCCTAAGAACTTGATTGAACCTCAGCATAATGATCCTGCTTAGTCACCATAGAGCAGGTGGTGGGCTGGCAACGTCTTGTGTATGGGGTCCCCAGCCGATCTCCTCCCTCCCTGCCTTCCTCGGATGGCGGCTGTTTATGGTGGACGTGTGGCCAGAGACGGGTAAGGAGCACGTGGAACCTCAGCAACCTAAGACAGAGCCATTGCCATGCTGCAATGAGTTTCGATGACAGGTAAGACTGAGGAATTCGCACTGACGGCCTAAGACAGGCAGCGTCCCTTAAACAAACAGTAAATAAGGAGGAATCTGATGCAGACCGTGCAGACCCGGTCAGGAGGTCAAGACCCTGTGGGCCCAAGCGTTGTTGACCGTCCAAACCATAGGCTCTGAGGATCAGACTTTAGCCACCTAGTAGACATAGCAAACTGTCCCTCATCTGATTATTCAGTAATGCTTGTTAGTAATCTCATACATGAGCCCTGGATATCCACAGACAAATGTAAAAACCTTCCCTAAAAGCCGAGACTGTAAATTCCAAAAAGGCAAGTTTCCACCACCCCCCCCCACCAAAAAAAAAAGCTAAAGAGGATAGAGAGAAACACTGTTAACTGATGATATATGGAGGGATAATAATCAATGTAATGAAACAAGCTATATGAATGGTTGAATGTGAAGCTGATGATGTGCCCTGTAAACTTTCACTCAATCCAAAATAAAAACATTTAATAAAAAAAAAAAAAAGTTAAAAACAAAGCAGCTACGAACATATGAACATTTATGTTCAGGTTTTTATGTGAATATAAATGTTCATTTTTGATATGAGTGTACCACAGGTTATTTTAAATCAGAAATTTTTAAAGTAAGAGAAATATAGTTTTAGAGCTAGTCACGAATATGGTTATAAGTAATAAGTGTTCACAATCTTTCTTTAATCTGAAGAAATTTCCTAATTGAGAAATTCCAGTTTATACAGTTTTGGGTAGGAGATTTTTAATTACCATCATTGTAGAATAGAAAAATATGAGAATATATTCATAAATATCAGATAATCATAAAGCTTATAAATTGGTACATTAGGGCTTTAGGATAAACAGTGGACTGCTAACCACAGGGTTGGAGGCTTGTTGGAAACCTTATACAGGCTTGCTATGAGTCAAAATGGACTTTACGGCACTTAGCAACAATAATGACGACATCATTAACTGACAAATAGATATTTAATAAATAATTTTGATGTAAGGGTAAAATCCTTTTTTTTTTTTTTTTAGGTCAAAGAAAGACCTGATGTGGGAGTTTATATAAAAGATTTATCAGCTTATGTGGTAAATAATGCTGATGATATGGATAGAATTATGACACTGGGCCACAAAAATCGTAAGTATCATTTGTCATTAGGATGAAATATCTATGTGTTGAGTAGACTGCCTTAAAAGTAAAACAGGTTTGACAATTTGCCACGGAGACTGGATTTTGTTTTCTTGAAAATATTCCCCTTTGATTGCTTACTATAGAGAGATCATATAGGAATGAAAGGTATCACTTTGTTTTCTGTGCTAGCCAAAATTTTCTTTCTTATTAACATTGATGTTCCTTTGAAACTTTTATATAACTCATCTCTTGATAACTAAAGCAGTGTGTAATATTTTTTGAGTACTTAATGTGTGACCCAGAGTCCCTGGGTGGTGTAAATGATGAAGCAGTTTGAATCCACCCAGAAGGCTTTTCTGAAGACAGACCTAGCAATCTGGTTCTGAAAGTCACAGTCTTAAAAGCCCTAGGGAGCAGCTCTGTTCTGCACACAGGGAGTCACCCTTCTCAGACACAGAGAGGCAACGTAATGGCAACCAACAACAGCAACAAAAGCCATGTGGCAAGCATTTGCGTTAAGTACTTTATTAAGGTGATCTCCTTCAATTTTCAAAATAGGCTCTGAACTTAGCTACATTCCTTTTGTTGATAAGAAAAGAAAAATAAAATAAATTATCTTTCTTTTTAGTAATTGTTCCAAGATTTTTTCTAATGAATAAAAAGCCTCAGATTAAATAAGAAGTGATGTTCGTGACATAAATGTTCTAGCCTGATACTAGTGCTGTAGTTACAAATTATAAGTAAAAGATAAATACATAGGAAATTCAACAAAAGTTTTACATTCAGCAAATCATACTCTTTGTTTCATCTTACTGATTGCCTTCTCCTCTTTGTAACTGTAGTTATCCCACTTCCTCTTTGTGCTTCTATTTCCAGTCCTCCCTCCTTCTCAGCCTTTCTCAACTTTGCCCTTAGGTAAATGTTGCCCTTTTGATTTTGAGTGATTGACCATTCCTTGGTGAGCATACCTTACTAGTGTTGTTGTCCCCCCCACATGTAAAAAACCTGGAAGATTTTAAAGTTACACCATTAAATAAAAATAACAAAACATTATGTATATATAAACCCAAACAAATGACTAAATATATATCTGGTGTTGTGTGGTGTTTAGTTGTCTGCATGTGTATATGTAAAATACACACTGAAGAGACAGAGATAATAGTGGTTACCTTTAGGGGAAGTAAGATTGGTGGGAATGGATGTGTGGAGGAGCTTTCACTTTGTTTTCTGTATATCTGAATTTTTGGAATTTTCTACAAAAAATACCAGAAATATGTTAATTTACTTACAATATGATTTAGACATTTTAAACGGAAGACGTCATTCACAGTAGTGACCAAAACCTCCCATTAACTGCTGGAGAATTAATGTAGTGTGGTATGTGAGATTTGTTCAAGGAAAACTAAAAAAATTGTTAAGAAAAATGAGATAAGTATAAAGGGATTAGAAGAATCCCTAAGATTGCAAAGGTGAAAATACTTTTTAACTAATAGATGGAGCCCATGAACTAAGCATTTAGTACAAATTTCCAAGTAGAAACAATCCAAGCATAAAAACACAAACTGTATCACATAAAAGGAATCCTGGTGTGGTGGCATAGGATAAGCACTCAACCTCAACATAGGTTTGAACCGCAATGTCAGTGGTTCAAACTTACCAGCTACTCCTTGGAGATCCTATGAAGGGTGGCTGTGAGTCAGAACTGACTTAACAGCACTTACCAACAACAATCATATAAAAATTAATACAATAAATGTTGTTGATGTTAAGTGCTGTTGAGTCAGTTCCGACCCATAGAGACCTTGTATAGGGTTTTCGAACAGCAGCTGGTGAGCTTGAACTGTCGTGTTGGAGTTCAAATGACTTTGCAGTCCAGCACATTAACCCTCAGAGCTACATCAGCACTCCAATACAATAAATCTTGTTGTTCAGTGCTGTCAAGTTGATTCTGACTCATAGTGACCCTGTATAGAGTTTCCAGTGAACAGCTGGTGGGTTTGAACCGCTGAACTTGTGGTTCGCAGTCCAGTGCTGATCCTATAGCACCACACCAGAAGCCATACAATAAATAGGAATAGAGAAAAAGTATGCTACCTTAAATACAATCTGTTACCCTAAATAGATGAAGAATTGAAACCAATATGAGTACTCATTTTGTACAGGTGGTTAGAGTATGTTGTTAAGTGCCATCTAGTTGGTTCCAACTCATTGCTACAGTGCCACACCAGGACTCAAGATGTGAGAATGTTACTGTTAAGTGTCATTGAGTCTGTTCCGACTCATAGCATCCCTGTATAGGGTTTCCAAGCAGCAGCTAGTGAGTTTGAACTGCTGACCTTGTGGTTCAAACCAACCTTGCAGTCCAGTACCACACCAGGACTAGAAATAGTTCACTTTACACTTAAAAATGTGTCAGTCTTTCATAACCTTCTTGTAAATAAACACAGATTTAAGTTAGGTACATTTACATTGTGAAATTCATTGCAAATTGGTTATTCTGCAGAGTAATATTTTTTTCAGTTTTTCTTTAAAAAACTACCTTTTTTAATGCATAATTTGTACAAGTAGTATAAAATTCAAAAGGCATAAGAGCATACATTGAAAACCAAGTCTGTTTCCCCCCATTGTCTGTCCGCCACCTAGTTCCCATCCCCAGCAGTTCCATCCTCTAGTAGTTTCTCATGTACCCACCCTGATATTCTGTTGTTGTCCTGTGATGTAAAGTTGATTGTGATTCATAGCACCCGTAGGACAGAGTACAACTACTCCCCAGGGTTTCTTAGGCTGTAATCTTTATGGAGGAATCCTGGTGTGGCACTGTAGGTAGTGTAGTGGTTACGAATCGGGCAGGAAACCTCAGGGTCAGTAGTTGGAAACTACCAGCTGCTCCGCCGGAGAAAGATAAGGCGTTCTGCTCCCGTAAAGATTTACAGCCTCGGAAACCCTGTACAGGGTCACGATGAGTCGGAACCGACTTCACGTCACATAACAACACAGCAACAACAATATAGCATTTTGTTGGCTGAATAGACCATTGATTTATTACCAATATTATGTGTATGTTGTTGTTAGGTGCTGTTGAGTTGGTTCCAACGTACAGCAACCCTACATAGGGTTTCAAAGGAGCGCGTGAATTTGAACTGACAATCTTGCAGTTTAAACCAACCCGTGGTCTGATGCATTATCCCACGGTGCCACATGAATTTATACATATGCAGATACTTTTGTAGGATACATTTTTCTAAGCCCTTTTGAAAAATAAACACATTTCTGAAAAGATATTTTGACAAAAAAGTAAGGCATCATATTTTGAAGGAAAGTTTTTTTTAATGAAAGTGTATTTTTATTCCCATTGTGTGACTTGTCAGCAGTTTGAAGCATTGAGTCTACAGAGAGGCCCCAGCTTACAACAAGGTTCTATCATAATTCAGTTCTGATACAAAGTTGAATACTTTTTTTGGGCAGAGGGTGTTCATTGTTAATGCCTTTTATTATCAGTCTTTATAAATTCTATGTTTGTCTTTGGGGTTGGAAACGTATATAAAATTAGAGTTGTCTGTACGGTCCTTTTCTTTTTTCCTCAATGCTTATTTCACGGCTTCCAGAATCTTCTTATCTATATTAGCAAAGCGATCAGCTTTTATTTAACTCTATGCTTTTGAGCAACTAAAGCTCCTGATTTAGTTTCAAAAAGGCTTCAGCTGATCCTGTTACCGTAAAATTTTTTAGACAACTTCTCTCCTTTTTCTCACTATTTTCTTCTTCAGCTTTTCATTACTCTTCAAAATCCAGGAAGTCCTAATTTGTTAGTTCCCCGTTTTCATGATTTGTGAGCTGTTTCACATCAGCGATACCAAGTTCTGAATTCAGTGTTCTTGGCCATGTTGTTTTTAAGTGCTGTCGAGTCAGTTCTGACTCGTAGTGATCCTGTATAGGGTTTTCGAGGAGCAGCTAGTGGTTTTGAACTGCCGACCTTGTGGTTTGTAGTCCAGTGCTGATCCTGCAGCGCCATACCAGGAGTCTATCTGGATGATTTCCCCACTGATCTCTCTCATTGTATTATCCTGATCAAATGCTTGGAACATATTCATTAGGAAAATGTAACCAAAACAATAGGAAAAAATAACTCAGTAATTTTTTCCTAATCCTCTGCATGCATTTTCTGTTAACTTCCTCCCAGGAAGATTGAATGATCTGAATACACTAAGAATATTCTGAATCTTCCAAAAAAATCACTTAATGTTATTGTACATAAATCTGTTACAACTGTTGCTTGAGCAAATGTGTGATGTATAGTGGGTGTACCTTGACAGTGGTACAGCAGCATTATATGTAGTTTCAACACTAACGATGTTGTTCTTGTTGTTAGATGTGTTGAGTCAGTTCTGTGTACCATAGAACAAAACACTGGCTAGTCTTGAGCTATCCACACAGTCATTCCTTGTTTGTGCCTGTTACAGCCACTGTGTTGGTCTCTCTGGTGAGGGTCTTCCTCTTTTTTTGTTGACTTTCTACTTTCTCAAGCATGATGTCCTTCTCCAGGAGCTGGACCCAAAGTATAAGAGGCAGAGTAAGTGATAGAGGGTGCCATCCTCACTTCTAAGGAACATCCTGGTTGTACTTCTGCCAAAAATTTGTTTTTCTGACAGTCCATGGTATATTAAATATTATTTTCCAACACTATAATTCAAATGCATTAGTTCGTCTCTAGTCTTCCTTTTTAATTGTCCAGCATGCAAATCAGGTGATTGACCATGTCATTTAGGTCAGGCACTCCTGAGTCCTCAAAGTGACAACTTTGGTCTTTAACGTGTTAAAGAGGTCTTTTGCAACAGATTTGCCCGGTGTGATTTGTTGTTTGATTTCTTGACTACTGCTTCCATGAGTGTTGATTGTGGCTCCAAATAAAATGAAACCCTTGAGAACTTTAATCTCTTCTCTGCTTATCATGATATAGTTTATTGGCCTACTTGTCAGGATGTCTTCTGTATGTTGTTGTTGTGAAGTGCCATCGAGTCGGTTCTGACCCATAGCGACCCTGTATAGGGTTTCCAAAAAGAGGCTGATGAGTTTGAACTGCCAACTTTTTAGTTTAGCAGCTTACAGTGCCACACCAGGACTCCATTTTGTCCACAGAATCCTTTAATATTGTAAGTCAAGGCTTGAATTCACCTAAAGTATTCTATGTTCAAGAGTATTGTTGTTTTTCAAGAGTAAGTTTCACAGCAAGGATCATTCCCACCCTCTCCACACACAGAGTAGACAGGGATGGGCAACTTGGACATTGGCTACCCAAAATGGGGGGGCTACAAAGGCAAGAAGTGACTGGCTTACAAGCTTTCAAGAGGGAACCTAGATCCAGAGGGCATGAAGGAAGGTAGAATCTCCACCGAGTAGTATCCAGTCTGTCTAGGCGAGGCTGATGAAATGCAGATAGGTCTCTTGTGATACAATAGTGAATAGTAGTTATCAGGACTGATTGTGAGGGTTGGAAATGTAAAGGTAGACATTTTGTAGCAAGGAGGGGAGTGATTAACTTTTCAGTCTAGGAGCGGAGGTCCCTGGGACCATCAAGGGAGAAGAGCAGAGAGCGGGACCCTACCCAGAGAAGCAGTGATCCCTGAGATGGAGGTAGAGATGATGACATGGAGAAATGTATGCAGAAGGTGATGATAAGTGGAAGAAAGCAGAAGATACAAAAAGATCCAACATGTATCTGTATTGCTAATCATCAGGTGATTTAGAATGGTGGCAAATTTCATACCTCTTTACATTTTTGGAAAAAATCAAATTCATAATTTTACTTAAAAAGAATATTGAGACTATATAGAATCACAAATTTTTGTGTTTTCTTGTTCTTGGCCTTCACTCATTGAACTTTTCTTTTATCATTGTAATTATTTTTGTTATCTGATCTTAAATAAGGCTGTGTGCTAATAAAGAACACTCTTTTACATTCTAAAATCAGGGCTTGCATAAAATTTTGTATGGGTATATAAGATAATGGAATCCTGGTGTGGCGCTATGGGTTAATGTGCTGAACTGCAAGGTCAGTTTGAACTGCAAGGTTGGCAGTTCAGGCTCACCAGCTGCTCCTTGGAAGCTCTGTGCTGGGTCGTTAAGAGTCAGAACCGATTCGACGGTACATAATAACAACAACAATTACAGTATAAAATAATATATGCCTACTCAGTTCTAAATTATCTTGTTAGCTGAGATTTTACATTTACAATAATAGTAAAAAAAAAAACCTCTATCCAACTATTTTGCGCATTAACGACATTTGTCTGGCAGTAGCAAACACCAAGGTTCAGGGCTAGAGTAATGCTGTTTGTGTGATGGTAAAAGCTGTATGTGTCACGTTGGCTGGGCCATGATTCTCTGTGGTTTGGCAGATGTAAACTGAAGTCATTTAGCAGTTGTGTAATGATGTAGTTTGGCAGGTATGTAACAGTCATCCTCCTTTTTCATGTATTGGATGATTTTTGCTTAACGACCAGGTCTTAACCATGTTGATTAGTGAGAAGTGGCTGCAGATAACTCTGAAATCGAGTAAAATTAACATACTGTAAAAAACTCTTTGGAATCTAAGGAAAAGCTAATACATGCCTTTTATAAAAAGCAAAACATTTTTCTTTGTTTATATGAATATAGTCACATAAAGTATTCATTTATGTACACAGTGTTTTGTATATTTTTAATGGATTTTTTTTTTTTGTCTTACAAAAATGGGATCATATTATATACTCCTGATAACATGGTTCTTTTGACATATCATAGGCATCTTTCTATGTCATTAAATACTAGTCTATATTATTCTTTTAAATGAATGCTCAGGAAGCCATAGTATGTGTATTAATGTAACTGATTAAAAGTCTCCTATTGATTGGTGTATGTGTGTGTGTATAAATTATTTTTCTAGCTAGTAGCAGTGGGATTAAAATTAACATGAAAAGCATTCCACATTGTTTATTATAAACATAAATTGTTGGTGAAATGTTTAATAATGGCTAAATACAGCTCTACTTTTATGGGATAGTTATGTTCATTGGATTTAGGTTGTGATGAAATTATGTATTTTAACTTTTTCTGAACGTTTAATTATTTTTAAAGACACTCTCTGTTACACTTTTTAAAGGTTTCCTTCCTTTATTAAAGGTTCTGTTGGTGCAACTAATATGAATGAACATAGTTCCCGTTCCCATGCCATCTTTACAATTACTATAGAATGCAGTGAGAAAGGTGTTGATGGTAACATGCATGTTAGGATGGGAAAACTCCATCTTGTAGATCTTGCTGTAAGTAATAGGATACTATTTTAGGAGTAATCCTTCTAATTTTATTATTTTTAAATTTTATTTTATAAGTAAATTCAAGTTAAAGTGAAAAGGTGTGATTTATACATGATCTTTAAGTTGTTTACTTTTATGTGTGTTTTTAAAAAATATTTTGTTTGTTGAGAGTGTGTATAGCAAAACATTCACCAATTGAGTAGTTCCTACATGCACACTTCAGTGACATCGATTACATTCTTTTAGATGTGCCATTATTCTCACCTGCCTTTTCTGAGTTGTTCCTCCTCCATTTGCATCAATTCACTGCCTCCTAGGTTCCTAGCTCTTTTGGGTTGCTCTTATGAATTTGATCCCATATAGATAAATCTTAATAGAGCCTAATGCTCAAGGCAGACATTCTTTACTAGTTAAAGTAAACTTTTGTTTGGTTTTAAGAAGACTTCAGGAGATATTTTTGGTTTAAAGTTTAAAGATAATCTCAGGGCAGTAGTTTGGGGACTCACCCAGCCTCTATGGCTCCCGAATATCTGCATTCCATGAAAATTTGAAATTCTGTTCTTCATTTCCTCCCCCCTTGAAGCAGGATACTACTATAGAATCTTTGATCAAAATGTTGAGTAATGGTAGCCGGGCTCCTACAGTTCTCCTGCTCTTAAGGCAGAGGAGACAGTTATTCATAGAGGCAGTTTGCCACACATACCATTTCTCCTCCCGTTGCTGACTCTCCTTACTTTGTTACTCCAGGCAAATAGAGATCAGTTGTGCCTCAGATGGCTCCTTGCAAGCTTTTAAACCTTAAGCTAGAACAGAAGCACTAAACATACTTGTGTATGTAACAACTGTTGTTGATGGAAAATTTCAAACATAGACAAAGGTAGATAGAATGGTATATTGATATCCTGTACACCCAACCTTATTGCTCAGCTTCAGCAGTTACCTGCTCATGGCCCATAAATACCAATTTATTGGTTTATCTTTTTCTTTACCGTCAGCCACTTCCCTCCTCTTATTAGTTTGAAGCAAACTCCAGACATTATATAAGATTTTTCACTGTTAAATTACCTTAAAAAAAAAACAAACCTTGTAAAGAATATTCTGCATTTTTGTATTCCGTAAGCTTTATTCTTATTTCTTTTTATTACCAGGGTTCAGAAAGACAAGCAAAAACTGGAGCTACTGGACAGCGCCTAAAAGAAGCTACAAAAATCAACCTTTCACTTTCTACTCTTGGTAATGTAATTTCTGCCTTGGTTGATGGGAAAAGCACTCATGTGCCTTATCGTAACTCCAAGTTGACTCGTCTTCTTCAGGATTCCTTAGGAGGAAATTCAAAAACCATGATGGTAAGATTTAATTGGTGGCATCATTAACTTAAGGCAGTTTTTAAATTCTGATTTATGTCAAAATTTACATGTGTAACATTTTTTTAAACTATTGACTATTTTATTTCTTGAAATTGTGGTTATTCTTTCTTTAGCATATAATGTGCACTAGCTCCATAATGGTGTCTAATTTTAAAATACATTGTGTTTGACTTTGATTTTTAAAGAAGGCCAGAGTATGCATATGCTTGAAAAATGATCTTTTCTCAAATATGAAATGTTTTAGTTTGTATTTCTAATTCAACAGTGTGCAAATATTGGGCCAGCAGATTACAATTATGATGAAACTATCAGTACATTACGCTATGCCAACCGTGCTAAAAATATTAAAAATAAAGCTAGAATTAATGAAGATCCAAAGGATGCTTTGCTTCGTCAATTTCAGAAAGAAATAGAAGAACTGAAGAAAAAGCTTGAAGAAGGTAACTTCTTAATCAAAATAATTCATTTTAATGTTAACTAAAGTTATGTTGGTTTAACCAGTAAGTGTTCTAGCTAAAATCACTTATTTGAAGTGTTTTGAGTCCTTAAAAATGATACTTAAAGGAATAGTTCTAGAAGGTAACTTGGTATGTGAGTACTTTAGCATCTCATTATTGTTCTGATTCATAGTGACCTTATAGTGCGTTTTTGAGGAGCAACTGGTGGGTTGGATCTGCCGATCTCGTGGTTTGCAATCCAGTGCTGATCCTACGGTGCCACACCAGGAGTCTCATTATTATGCTACAGTAAAATTATATAGTATTTGTATATTGTTGTTGTTAGGTACTATCGAGTCGATGCCGACTCAAAGTGACCTTATGCACAGCAGAACGAAACACCACCCAATCCTGGGCCAATCTCACTGTTGTTGCCACGCTTGAGCCCATATAGGGTTTTAAAAAGTTATAGTAATTTAATTTAAACCTCCATCTCTATCCTTATGATCATTTGTGGATTTTATATGACTACTTGTTAAATATGAATTTTTATAAGTTTTTATTGTGAGTTGGGTGATAGTTTACATGGGAGAGCATCAGTTTTACGTTCATCCTATCATATTTCATTTCATTGCAATGATTTCGGTCCCCTCCATTTCAATCCCCGTGCATCATCATTCAGCAATCCCTCTGTTTGTTATTTTTTGTATGTATACTGAATATATAACCATTCAAACAACCAAAGGGTATACCCTGCACGCCAGCCTCCTGATCTCTCTCCTTCCTTGAATCTAGAGTCCCCAGCCACTCCATCTCTTCACGTCATCATCTCTACCTCCATCTCTGACATCGCTGCTTCTCTGGAGAGGGTCCTGCACTCTGCTCTTCTCCCTTGATGGTCCCAGGGACCTCTGCTGCTGGACTGCAAAATCAACCACTCCCTTCCTTTTGTAACAAAACATCTACCTTTACATTTGCAACATTCACAGTCAGTCCTGATAGCCGTTATTCACTATTGAACCACAAGAGTCTTATCCCCATTTGCTTTCACCAGTCCCGTCTAGACAGGTCGGAAACCACTCAGTAGAGATTCTACATTCCCCCCGCATCCTCCGAAACTAAGCTCTCTTTTGAAAATGTGTAAGCCAGTCACTTTGTGCCTTTGCTCTTCCCCTCCCCGTTTTGGGTAGCCAATGTCAAAGTTGCCCGTCCCTGTCAACCCTGTGTACTGAGGGGGTGGGAATGTAAAGTTTTAAGCTACTGCTTCCATAAATATAGGTCAAGTTCATCAAATTGTAGCAGATTACACTCTTTTCTTCTTCTTTCTTCCTCTAGTGGAGTTCTGATCATCCAGCCATTGAAGCTAGGTCAGATGGGTACTATTTGCAAGTATGGGTGTTCTTGTGCATCTACCCTCACTTCATATCAGCTGGACACTTTACTCTCTGCTGTAGTTCTCTGTGACTGTGTCCCTGTCCCTGGGCTCAGGAGTCCCCAGGTCTTGCTATACTGGCCGGATCTAAATCCAGGTTCACAGGAGTCTGTTGAACGTGGTCAGACTTAGCTTACAGCTTCAATGCTGTTTTCCCCCCACTTCCCCTTATCGGTATACCAACATAGTCTCCAGCATGATTACATGCCTGTTCTTGTATTACCTTTGAGTTCAGTCTTGGAAGGGGATTTACCCTGAGGGGACTTGATTGCTTGCCTTGATGGTTCCCCAGTGAACAACTTGCTTGTTCTTGTAGTAGCCACTCAGACTGTCGTTATTGTTTTTGACTTTTCCTGCTGGTCTTTCTTTCTAGAAGTATCTTCTGTTCCTCTAGCTGCTCCAGGCTGGTCTACTTGTCTTTTCAAGTGGAAATTTCCCACCTCAGAAGATTCTGGATGGGGATCAGGATTCCACTTATGGTCTTACGCAGTGCAAAGGCTCTGCAGGAAGCCTCTTTAACTGGGCAAGTTTTAGCCCCATTTTAGGTATTCCAATCAGTTAGGGCTTACAAGCTTTCTATAGTGATGTTTCTGACTATTCCTTTCCCTCCCCCTCAAGTGTCTATTTTACAATAGTAGGCAAGAGAAACTAAGATTCATAAGACAGTCAAGCATCTTAACATAATTTCCCCTCTTTTACCCATTCAAACCATGCCTCAATCCCTGCATCACAGAGCCCTGTTGTTCCAAGGTTGAACATACATCACTATTACCTCTGTCGCACTTAGCCCATGCAAACCTGCCTAAATGTTCTCCCATCCACCTTGTTCTTCCATTCCCCTCCCCTTTCTTGTGTATTGCCCCACCAGCACCCAAACTATCATGTGTCTATTCCCTACCCTGTGCTCTACCTTCCCCTCCCTCCTCTCACCTCACCCCATATCTCCCCCCACCTTTTGTGACTAATTTCACTCAGCATAATACCCTCAAGGTTTATCCATGTTAGGCGGTGGCTGGCAGCTTCCTTATTGTTCTTCAAGATAGCATGGTAGTCCATTGTGTATATGTACCATAGTTTATTTATCCATTCTTCCATTGATGGGCATTTAGTCTGTCTCTATCTTTTTGCTATTGTAAATAGTGCTGCTGTGAACATTGTTGTGCATATGTCTGTTTGTGATATGGCTCGTATTTCTAGTGGATAAATACCAAGTAGAGGAATTGCTTGATCATAAGTATTTCTGTTTCTAACTTTCTCAGGAAGCACCATACTGTTTTCCAGAGTGGTTGGACCATTTTGCAATCCCACCAGCAATGTCGGAGGGTCCCAGTCTCTTCACAGCCTCTCCAGCATTTATTGCCCTCTTCTTTTTTTTTTTTTTTTGAATAAATGTTTTATATTGTGAATTATGTGATAGTTTACACCCTCTTCTTTTTTGAACTTCTCTGTGCTGGTGTGAGATAATATCTCATTGTTGTTTTGATTTGCATCTCTCTAATGGCTCTGGTAGCGTAGTGGTTACAAATCAGGCTGCTAACCCCAAGGTTGGCGGTTCAAAACTACCAGCTATTCCATGTGAGAAAGATGAGGCGTTTCGTTCTACTCCTGTAAAGATTTACAGCCTTGGAAACCCTGTGCAGGGTTACTATGAGTTGTAACCGACTCCATGGTACCTAACAAAAACAACAATGGCTAGTGATCATCGTGAACATTTCTTCATGTTTGTTGGCTGCCCAAATGTCTTCCTTTGTGAAGTGTCTGTTCATGTCCTATGCCCATTTTTTAATTGGGTTATTTGTCGTTTTCTTGTAGAGGTGTTGTAGTTTCCTATGTATTTTAGATATTAGTTCCTTGTCTGATGAATTGTTGATAAAGATTTTTTCCAATTCTGTAGGCTCCTTTTTTACTTTTTTTGAGGAAGTCTTTTGATGCACATAAGTTTTTAATTTTTAGTGTGTCACAATCATCTTTTTTTGGTGCAATTTTCACAATGTTTGGTAGTCTGTGTGTGCCTTAGATTAGAGCCCTTAAATTTGTCCCTATTTTTTCATTGATGGCCTTCATAATTCTGGGATTCACATTTAATCCATGCTAGTTGATTTTTGTATGCGGCATCAGGTAAAGGTCTTGTTTCAAATACTAATTTATCTTGAAATAAAGTATCAGTCACAAGTAAACCAAGTTTACTAAAGTGAAAAAATTATTGCATGGCCTTGTAATACGCTTTCATACTTAAAATTGAACATAAACTTCTACTTTGGAAATTATTTTCTAACAAAGTAATTGTTAGAAAGTTAAAATATTTGCAGACCTTATTCATGAGGGCAAGAAATTTCCCAAGCAACATAAGTGCTTAATGACTCCCTGTACCTTCATGCTTGGAATCGATCCTTTCTGATTGGCAGCTAAGGTGAACAAAGGGCTCTGAAACTACGCCTTTGCTTTCTCTTTGGGGAAACTGGTTTAGTCAGAATGATGACATCCAGAAATGCCACCATCACAGATGTTTACAGAAGGTGCTGATTCAATAAAAGCCATCATCTGCCTCTCAGATAATTAAATGTGATGTTATAAATGTGACCACTAGGTGGTATTTATAACCAATATGTTTTAAGATACATGACATTTCTTACATGTTAACAATGAGTTCATACCTTTATTTTAAATACACTTCATTTTATTTGTGCTCTTATGACATTTGTTTGTATAATCCAGCTAGTAGAGTTTTATGATATCATTAATAGAATTGATCATATGAACAATGAAATAGGAAAAGCATTTAAAAAACAAATTTTTTTTAACTTTTAATTTTGATGTAATTTTAACCAGTTAACTAGTTGCTTTCTAGTATGTTTCCACTCATGACAACCCTATATATGTCCCTGTAGAACTGTTCTCCATATGGCCGAGTTTTTGGAAGTAGATCACCAGACCTTTCCTTCAAGGCACTCTGGATAGGCTATAGTCAGCAGCATAGCTGCTGTTTTGTTTTTTGTTTTTTTTAACTCTTTATTGTGAATTGAGTGAAGATTTACAGAGCAGATCATCAGTTTTGCATTCAACAAATCATTGACTTTGCTTCATTATGATGATTGCAATCCCCTCCATGTACCAATAGTTAACACTGTTTACCTCTCTATTCACTTTAACTCTTCATTCCTCCCCATGTCTCCCACTACCTTCATCTTTCCTCTGCTAGCCGCCTCCTTGTTGCATATTCCCTGCCCTCTGTTAACATGTGTCTACCTTCTAGCTCATGAATCTAGCTCATCCACCCCTTAACCCTCTACTGCGTCCCCACTCCGTAACCATCATAGATTGTTTCTTTTGTCAATAAAACCGTTTCTTAACTTTTACAACAATGGTCTCATACAATGTTTGTCCTTTTGTGATTGATTTCACTCACATAAATGTCCTCCAGGTTCATCCATTTGAGGTATATTGTGCTGATACGTCATTATTATTAAATGTTAGGTGATATTCTATTGTGTGTATGTACCAAGGTTTGTTTAACCATTCTTTTGGTGATGGGCTTTTAGGCTGTCTCCATCCTTTTTATATGCCTCTTGTAGACAGCATATTAAAGGATCCTGTTTTCTTATCCATTCTGCTCTCTATATGTCTTGACTGGTACATTTAATCCATTTATATTCAGTATAATTATTGATGTGAATTACACTGGTAATAGGTATGAATTGATTGGTGTTATTTTGCTGTGTGTGTTTTTTTGTGGTGAAATATTGACACATCTCTTTCTGAAGGCAGTTGTTTTTGTTGTTGTTATTAAGTGCCGTTGAGTTGGTACTGACTCATAGTGACCCTATGTAGAGTTTATGAGCGGCTGGTGGGTTTGAACCACCAACCTTACAGTTAGTAGTCCAGTGCTTATCCTACAGCTTCACACCAGTCAGTAAGTAAAAGCTTAGCTTCTTAACTGTCTATACCATCCAGGGACTCCAAAGTAGTCTTAGATTATGGAAAACATGCAAATACAATATGGAGAGTCCCTGTATTTGTGGGTTACTCTTTACCCAGGTCTTCCTAATGTTAACATCTTGCATAATCATACTACAATGATTGGAGTCAGGAAACTTAACAGTCATACAATTCTATAAACTAATGGACAGATCTTATTTGAATTTTGCCCATTTTTCTTGTACTGCTCTTTTTCTGCACTATATCCACTTCAGGATCCCATATTGCATTTAGTTATTGTGTCCTCTTAGTCTCCTCCAGTCTGCCACAGTTCTGCAGACTTTCTTTGCCTTTTATATTCTTGATACTTTTGAAAGGGTACTGGTTAGATATTTTATAGAATGTTCCTCAGTTCTGGTCTGTCTAAAATTCTCCCATAGTTAGTCTACCAGGTTGTTCCTCTGTAAAAATACTATTTTATTTTTCCCTTTGTAAATGTTATATGTCTTGTGGGGGGTTACTTTGAGAATGTGAAAGATCCTGTGTGTCATGCTTTCTCCCACTGGTTTTAGCATCCGTTGATGGTTCTTGCCTACAACAGTAAGTTCTGTGGTATTTGCTCAGTGGTGCTTTTCTATTACCACCATTCCTTCTACATTTATTATATAAGGAAGCGCTGTCCCTTCTCTTCCATTTACATATTTATTCAGGTATTTATATCACTAGATGGTTGGTGTCAGAGGCTGTTGAGTTGGTTCTAACTCAAAGTGACTATGTACCAAGTACTGCCTGGTCCTATGTGGACCCAGTGATAGGAGAGGTCTTCAAAAAGTTCATGAAAAAATGTAATTGAAAGATTTATTTTAGTCTGTGAATTATAATCCTATGTTACTGTTATTTATTTTCTCAAATTGTTTCAACTTTGACCATTAGAAACTCCTTCATGGAAGTTCCTATATCCTATCAAAATACTTACATCATTCCTGGGGTTTAACATAACTACTATATACAGTCTAAGAGTATTTAAGGTTTGTTTGGGGCATTAAAATTTAAGAAAGTTGATAGCAGATATTTCCTAATTATCCAGTGACATGGTACAGAATAAAACCATTGTGTTTAATTCCTTTCCAAGGGGAAGAAATATCAGGATCTGATGTCAGTGGGTCAGAGGATGATGATGACGAAGAGGGTGAAGTTGGAGAAGATGGAGAGAAAAGGAAGAAAAGAAGGGGTGAGTTCTTTTTAGTGTTCTAACTTGTGGAAATGAAGTGGGATTACTACTGAATAATGGCCTAACCTTTCTTAAGGCAATAGAATGCTACATTGCACTTATTTTGTCTATTTTAAAGATGGCACTATTAGAGCAGGAGACGTTAGCTTCAACTTTGCTTTATTTTTCTTCTATACTGACCTACTATAGCTGAACCATACATAATACCATAGGTTCTGTACTTTAAACTTGGGAATTGTAAATATCTATGATGGTGGATACATCATTTTTAAATTGCATGTAGTGTTTTAATGTTGTGTAAGAACTCTCAGCTGTGTTTGGAACCTAAATTTCTTAGGTAATTTAGGCTATTGTGGGGATTTTTCTCAAGCAAGATTAGTTTTAGAAGTCATTGATTTTTAAATGATACATTTGCATGGGGATACTTTCTTTTTTTAGGATACTATTTTTTATTTTAGTAAGGTCTTTTTTTTACATTTTGTTTATCATTGAGAACATTAAGGTACTGCTTTTTAATTTATAAAATGTTGTCTCATTTGCACTCTCTTGTGGGACATTTGTTGCCAAGTGTAACTTAAGATGGTATTTGTTGTGATAAATATTTAGAATAGCAGGCAAAAGAGAGACATATTATAATGGCCTATATTTCAAACATTTTTATCCCAAGTATTTCCGTATGTCTGAACTCTCTTCCATTAATGTGGATCATTGTTTTCAAGCTGGTGCCTATTTTGCTTATCTTACTAAAAATGAGCTTGCTGGAAATAAAACCCATCACTGCTTCATCAGGAGTCCCAGATTTCAAACCTTAAAGGCTGTCACTTCAAATGGCAAGAGAAGCATGATTTAGAGCAAGGGTTGGCAGGCAAAGATGACAGTGGGCCAGATTTGGCTTCCTTCCTGTTTTTAGCAATGAAATTATATCAAAACAGCCATGTTCACGTGCTTACATATGGTCTTTTGACTGTTTTACATTAAAGCAAGAGATTAGTATTGTGATAGAGACCATATGTTTTACAAAAACTATTATCTGGCTCTGGTGGTACAATAGACTACTAACCACAAAGTTGGTGGTTCAAACCCACCTGCTGCTCCTTGGGAGAAAGATGAGGCTGTCTGCTCCCATAAAGATTTACAATCTCAGAAACCCAAAGGAGCAGTTCTGTTCTGTCCTGTAGGGTCACTGTGAGTCAGAACCGACTCACTGGCAGTAAGTTTATTATTTTATGGAACAAATTTGTTGACCCCTGATTTAGAGAAATAGTTTTGTCTTCATACCTATTTTTCCTACTTTTTTCAGAGTTGACAATTATTTTCAGGACTGAAGCAGATAATGGATTTGTTCAAAATAACATTTTAAATAGAAAAAATTGCCATGTTTAATATAAGTTAGAATATTTAATAGTACCTTCTTCCCAGGCTTGGCAGTTTAAATTTTTCATTAAACCCTATTTTGAGTTTTGCTATGGAACCTTAAAGAAATAATTATATCCGGTAGCTTGATGGTTTGGAAAGAAGAGAGCAAAGCCAGAGATGGGTCAGCCTGGCTATCCCAGTTGCCATTGAGTTGACTCTGACTCATGGCAACCCCACGTGTGACAGAATAGACCTGTGCTTCCTAGAGTTTTCAATGACTGGGTTTTTGGAAGTGGGTTGCCAGGCCTTGGTAAGCTCTGGGTAAACTTTAACCTCCAGCCTTTCAATTAACAGCCGAATGTATTAGTGGTTTGCACCACCCAGGGACTCCAACCTGTAAGAAAGAGTATTTTAACATTCATTACTTTTTGTTACATACGACTTTTTAGTCCCTGAGTGGTACAGAAGCTAAAGTGCTTGGCTGCTAACTTAAAAATTGCTGGTTTGAGTTCACCCAGAGTCACCTTAAAAGACAGGCCTGGTGATCTGCTGCATTAAAAATCCTGAGAAGCACAGTTCTTCTCTGACACACGTGGAGATGCCATGAACCAGAATCAACTCCATAGCAACTGGAAGTTTTAAAGCAGTTCATTTAGCATATCAACCAAAATAGTTTAAATATAGACTTTAAAACATCACCAAATGACTTTGTTTTTTTAGTCTTGTTGTTTCACCTTTCAGAATAATCCTGTTTTGGATGAATAGTGGGTTTTTCCATTGCATATGCTTCAAGGAACCTAGTTTCTAATTCGCTTCTAAGACTGTGACGGGGCTAATACTGATCGACAATCAAGACTGATTGTAAGGGGGGACAAAATTTTGGTTCTTTAATATAAACCTTTATTGTTCTTTAAAATTCCTCTGGAACTGAATTTTTCTCCTTGTTTGTGTTCATTTCTTTTTCCTCTTTCTTTGGTTCCAGTTGGGCTCATTTCTTTGTCTTCCAGGCAGTAGCAGCAGCAGTAGTTCAGACTCCACATGTTCTGTGATAGAGAAACCTCTGGATAAGTTCTTGCCTAGTGAGTGGTAGCGCTTCAATTCTCTAACAGAGCTTTGGCTTTTCCATAATCCATGGGCTTCATTTGAGAAATGCTGCAGTGTTCCCTGTCATTACTTAAGAATACATGTTGAACTTCTCTGTAGACCAAAGCATGTGTTGATCCGTCCCACCCATCCAACTCCGTCTTCATTGCTTCCAGTTAACCATAATGAATTGTTAAAACATGCTTAAGCTTATGTCTGAGACAATGGAAGAGAGATTCATGCTGTCGCAACTGAGATAATGTAAAGAGAGCTAGTAAGCTGTATAAAAGAATAATTCTTAAGTGTTCCTTGTTATGTTTTGATCATCATTTTCTAATCCCAACCAGTTTAAGGGCCATGTAATGACAAATCCTCCGTTTCTAAAAGTGTAAATTATATTTGGAAGGACATTGGTGCCCATTATAACATGTCTTACAGTTTAAGAGCTTTTACACTTTGGTGGGTTTCCTATTCTTAGGGGTAGTTTGAGATCGAAAGCTTCCAAATTAAAAGAAAAAGTAAACTTTGAAACATGTAAAAATATGTTGAATAGTATTTTATTTCAAATGACCATTTATTCCCATTTCTAAATTAACATGATCAATTTTAAGAGAACTTTCTAAGATATTACTAGAGAATTTAAATTCATGAGTTTATACAGAATCTGTCTAGACTTATTTCAAATTTAGACAAAGACTTTTTCTTAAACCTTAGGTAAATTGAAAAGCGTTTAATTTTGTCTATTTAAATTTTCTTTTAGTAGATAAGAGAGGTGCTGTGTTCTTGTGCTAGCTTGCAGCTTACTGTCTTTTAAAGCATTATCCACACACAAACTCTTTCCAAAACTAATACCATATTGATTATTTATTGTTCTGATGTTGTAACTTCCTCAATGAACATCTCCAAGAATATGAAAAAATAGTAATACATGAAATTGCTTTAGAAGCCTTACAGAGGTATTATTTTGTGTTATAAACTGCAAAACACAAGCCACATCTTTTCCGTGGGAGGTTCTGTAATTGAGTGTACTGCTTTAAAACTGACCTTAGTCCTTTTTAAGAGTAGTTGCATTCAAGCCTGTGGGAGAAAGGTGTAGCAGTCAGCCTCTGTAAAGGTTACAGCCTGGGAAGCCCTATGAGGCAGCTCTACTCTGGCCTGTAGAGTGGCTGTGATTTGGAATGGACTCACTCCATGACAGTGGGTTTGGTTTTGGTTTTGGTAAATTAAGATATGTCATGAAATGAATTGTACTGTTTCAATTCAGGAAGTTTTCATTACAATTCGCATACTGAGCACATAATTTAAATTCTTGGGGGGTGATGTGGGTGAGGAGAGGTGGTTTCCCTAGCATGTGGTTGCTTTATGTAACATGTATGTACTCTCCCTTTAAAAATGTGAATGGCCTTTTTTATTTTTTTAAGCACCTTTTGCTTGAGTCATCAATTTGGTCATTTACTTAAGTAGAATCATTATGATTATTTTTAATCTATGAGATTGAATATTTGTTTTTATGCAGGTGTGCTTCACTTTAGGTCGTAAATGTTTTTGAAAAACATTGCTTGTAAATCAAGTTGGAAAAGCAAATTACATTGTGACTACATTGGAAGAACTTTCTATCTTTAAAAATTCTTCATTAAATCCTTCTGATAATATATGCATATATAAACGATAATTCATCTGTTTAGTTGGTTGAAAATTTTGTATTCAATTTTCTTAAAGGGGGGCATACCTGTAATGAATCCTTATTCTTGAAGGAACATTGAATTGGGAAATCTGAAAATGAATTGTGATTTTTGTTACTTTTAACTTAATGATTTTCACATTAGCCTATTTTTTTTTTCAGTTTACCTTTTTAGAGTACTCCCAGGTCTTCTTCTTGTTGTTAAGTCCCCATTGAGTCAGTTCTGACTCATAACGACCCTTTGTAGAGTTTCCAGGGAGCGGCTAGTGAGTTTGAACCATCCACCTTGTAGTTCAAACCAGCCTTGTGGTCCAGTGCTCCCAGGTCCTAGCAGGTTCCCAATTCCATGTTTACTGTTGGTCTAACCTCATGGTGCCCATGGGTTTTATTTGCAGGAGTATGGGAGTCAGTGTAAGCTCTTGAGATTGATTTGAACTGTAATCTTAGATTAAACTAGTCTTCTTATCTTTGCGTAAACAACATCGCTCATCGTGTTGAATACGCTCTCTTTTTACATGGGCCCGAGTTCAGTTTTGATAATGATTTGTTTCTGTACTGCTCTATAAATGAATGCTATTACACATTTTTCTTTGTTTTGTGAAAGAAATAATGTTTTTCTTTTTTTCTTCCTCATCTCTGTGCACATGCTTCCTGTCTGCGATTTGCTTACTTCTTCTTATTGCAAGATCAAGCAGGTTGGTGTGATTGATTTGCACTCCACATTGTACAATTAGTTATCCCATGAAGAAATTTGTTATTTAGCTACATTACACTTTTTAAACAATTAATAATTTTTTTTGGCAAGGTAAGTATTTTATCATTTATCCTAAAAAATATATCCTTCATGGATAACTTAAACTTTTTTTATTTTTTAAGCTCCTTTTTTGTGTAATTTCTTAAAAGACTTACTAAACCAAATTTTGAAGATACAAGTGTAAATGATTTCACATTCAGACATTAATCTCTCTCCAGCTCCTTACCCTTTCTTTGCCCCTTAGCTGGGATTTAAATGCCTGGATACCTGTGTCTGTAGGTGCTCATGTCATGAAATGCAATCAGTTAGTACTTACTGGAAATGCTTCCTTTAGCTATCCCTTGCCGAAGTTCACTGTCCTTGTTTTGGTCAGAGCATATTACAAAGCCAATGGGCAGTTTAAAATGTCACTATTCTTGATTGGCTTAATAGCAGTGCTCTTTAGGACATCAACTTTGTTTAGAGTTATTTACCTGAAATTTTATACTAATCCCAGTCATGGAGTATTAGAGGAAGAGAAGATTGTTTTGTTTATTGGTTTGGTTAATGAGATTTTGCTGTAATGCAAAAAATGTGTGCAAAAGTGACTTTCAATGATGTCACATTTTAAAGGACCTGGTTAAGAGAGAAGCTGCCCTTGTGGTGCAGTGGGTGAACTGATAGGTCAGCAGCTTGAACGCACCAGCGCTCCTCAGGAGAAAGATAATAAAGATTTTAGCCTAAAATATGTTCTGGGTAGAAATATTAGGATTTGTCAGAGTAACACGTTACTAAATATTAGACTTTTGAATCTAAACCTGACTGTGCATGTATGGGTATGGGCATCATCATAAAAATGTTAGAGTAGCACAAGAGTTTTGCTGCTAAAGCATCTATTTGGAAAAAAAACAAAAAACTGAATAATTTTGAATTACTAGTGTAATTCAGGCAGAGTAGCAATTCATTAATAGGTCTATGTCTTTCTACATATAAAATGTTTTGTTGCCTCTTGATGGATTTTGAAACTAAGTTTTTAGCTGTAAAAAAAAAAAAACTCTGATCTTAGAAACCTAAAAACTCTTATGTTGTTCAGCTCATTTCCTCCATACTTAGTGTCCATGTCTTTATACAACCATTTTCTTTTGTCTTAAAATATTTGCCTTTTAAAAAAAAAAAAAGTGTGATTCCGAAGTGGGAAGGAATTACAAGTTTTGGAATGTATACTTTATACCTAGAACTTTCCCCTCAAATTTCTAAGGAGTAGTATTATTGACATGAAGTCCATCGTAGGGATTCATTAGGAGTAGGAACTCTTTCTAACACAGTGTAATTCAGAAGGTTCATGCAGGTGAATTGCCAAAAATAAAATATCAGCAGAGTCAGTTCTACATACTGACTTTTGGAATGCAAGGAATCACACCACACCAGAGCATGAATTTGGATCAGTGCTTTTATTTCATCTTTTATTTATTTATTTTGTGGTTTTCATTTGTTTTAGATTTATATTTCTATAGAAATGAAGGGTTATGTATTTCAAACCCTTGAGTTTTTTGTATAATTTTGTCTCACAAAACTAAAGCTTATGCGTAATTCTCCGTATATGTATGTATATATCTCCATTATAATTATTTTTCAATTCTCTTTCCTTATAAGCAGGAGGGGTTAACTGTTGGGTGGAAACATTAGCAATGTAGAAACTCTTCTGGTTTTCGCTCTTCTGTGCTCCTGTGGGAAGGAATTTTAAGAATGGCAGAAAGCTCTCAGGCAAGAAAATGCATTACCAGAAATGAATTAGCCTTGATAAGATTTAATAACCAGTTTTATAAGCTGTTTTTTATATTCTTTGTGATTTTTCATAATAAATTAATTCAGTAAAATTTTATTAAGTACCTATTATTACATGTGTATAGAACATCCTACTAGGTGTTATCATCAGAATAACCAGTTGAAAGGTATGTTTTCAGCTGTAAGATTTCCCAGTATTTGTACTTGACACTTGTTTATTCTGACTAGGGAGACTATTGCAGTGATCCCTAGTTTGACATGATAACGAGTCATTTGACTTGCTCAGTTAGGGTTTAATGGTACATCATAGCAGTGTAGCAACTGTAAAGTGGCTGTCAGGGTCTTTGTAATTTTTCTATCATTAGTATCGAATTTCTTCCCTTAAAATATATGAAATAAAAGAGTGCCAAGTAATTTTATTGAAAAGTTTACAACTCTGATAAATACAAAGTACTTATTCGTATAAATGCTGCCTGATACTGAGGCTTTAATTTATGCATTTGTTTTATGTGATTTTAGGGGAGATCTTTTGAGAAACCACTTGGCTTTAGACTTGGTGCTTATCAGAAAAAGTAACTCAAGAACGATACCCTATTTTCACCTATAGATGTTGTTTAGAGCACACAGATCTTTGCTTTTTTTTGTTTTTCAGTTAATCTTTCTTTCTGCTCATCTGTTTTGCTCCTCATTCACTTATTTTTGTTCTTAGCTAGCACTTTGCACTTAGACCACAATATGAATTGGACAATTGGTTTAAAAGTTCTTTCAGGAACATAATAAATATAAAAGTCAATTTTAAGTCAATTTGATATCCTTAAATTTTGATATTTTGTGTCATTGAGCAATCTAGGTGGTTGTACATTGGATAATTTACACAACTTATCTTGGGGATTGTTTCAATTCAATAACACAAATAGGTAAAAAGAAAGTGTCTCCAGATAAGATGGTTGAAATGCAAGCAAAAATTGATGAGGAGAGGAAAGCACTTGAAACAAAGCTTGACATGGAAGAAGAAGAAAGAAACAAGGCTAGAGCTGAGTTAGAGAAACGAGAAAAGGATCTTCTGAAAGCCCAGTGAGTATGATTGAATTGAGATGAATTCATGATTGAAAGCTTCAGAGTTTTTCATGAGATGTATAAGCAAGAAAATTGAGTAGTGTAAAAATGAGCATTAACAATCCTGCGACAGCATTCTACTCAGCTGACTTCAATAATCCATTGCAATGGCCACACAGAACTCAGACGCCTTGTTGTTGTTTTTGTTGTTGTTAGGTGCCATCGAGTTGGTACTGACTCATAGCAACCCTATGCACAGCAGAACGAAAGTGTTGCCACGCTTGAATCCATCGATGCTGCCACTTGGTCAGTCCATCTCGTTGGGGGTCTTCCTCTTTATCTCTGACCCTCCACCTTACCAAACATGATATCCTTCTCCAGAAACTGCTCCCTCCTGACAATATGTCCAAAGTATGAGGGATGAAGTTGGCCATCCTGGCCTCTAAGGAGCACTGTGGCTGCACTTCTTCCAAAATGGATCTATTGGTTCTTTTGGCAACCCATGGCACTTTCAATATTCTCCTCTAACACCATAACTCAAAAAACATCAATTCTTCTATGGTCTTCCTTATTCACTGCTCAGCTTTCACATGCATATGAGGTGATTGAACATACTATGGCTTGGGTCAGGCGCACCTTAGTCCTCAAGCTGACATCTTTGCTCGTCAACACTTTTAAAAAGGTCTTGTGCAGCAGATTGGCCTAATGCAATACATTGTTTGATCTCGACTGCTGCTTCCATTGAGTATTGATAGTTGATCCAAGAAGAATGAAGTCCTTGACAACTTCAATCTTTTCTCCATTGATAAGAATGTTGTGTATTGGTCCAGTGGTGAGGATTTTTGTTTTATTGACATTGAGATGTAATCCATACCAAAGGCTGTGCTCCTTGATCTTCCTCCAATCCTGATGCCACGTTTTTTTTTTTCATGTAACCCAGCTTCTCAGATTATTTGCTCATCATACAGGTTGAATAAGTATGGTGAAAGAATGCAACTCTGTCGCACACCTTTTATAATTTTAAACCATTTAGTGTTCCCATGTTCTGTTCGAACAACTGCCTCTTGGTCCATGTACAGATTCCTCATGAGCACAATTAAGTGTTCCAGAATACTCATACTTTGCTATGTTGTCCATAGCTTGTCATGATCTACACAATCGAAAGCCTTTGCTTAGTCAGTAAAGCACAGATAAACATCTTTCTAATATTCTCTGCTTTCAGCCAAGATCCGTCGGACATCAGCATTGGTATCTCTCGTTCCACGGCCTCTTCTGAATCTGCGTTCAACTTTTGGAAGTTCTCTGTCAATGTGTGCTTGCAGCTGTTTCTCTATTACCTTTAGTAAAACTTCACTCACATGGGATATCAAAGAGATTTATGATTTCCAAGTCCTGTTGGGTCACCTCTCTTTGGAATGGGCACAAACACGGATCTTTTCCAATCAGTTGGCCAGATAGTTGTCTCCCAAATTTCTTGGCAGAGATGAGTGAGTGCCTTCTGTGCCGCCTCAATTCTTTGAAAGATTTCAATTTTTATTCCATCAGTTCCTGGTGCCTTGTTCTTTGCCAATTCCTTCAATGCACCTTGGACTTCCTCCTTCAGTATCATTGACTCTTGATCATACGCTACCTCTTGAAATGGCTGAACATTACCCATTTCCTTTTGGTACAGTGACTCTGTGTATTCCTTCCATATTCTTATGATACTTTCTGCATCTTTCAATAGTTTGCCCAGAGAAGCTTTCAATAACGAAAGTCGAGGCTTGAATTTTTTCTTCAGTTCCCGCAGCTTGAGAAATGCCTCATTTTTGGTTTTCTGACTCCAGATCTTTGCACATTTTGTTTTAATATTTGGCTTTATCTTCTCTAGCTGATTTTGAAATTTTCTGTTCAGGTCCTGTACCTCCCCATTTCTTCCATTTGCTTTAGCATCTCTACACTGGAGAGCAAGTTTCAGTGTCTCTTCTGACATCCATTTTGACTTTTTCCTTCTTTCTTATCTTCTTAATGATAGTTTGCTTTCTTCATGTATGATGTTCTTGGTTTCATCCCACAACTCTTCTGGTCTTCGGTCTTTAGTATTTAATGTATAAAATCTGTTCCTCCGATGATCTCTAAATTCAGGTGGGATATATTCAAGGTCATGTTTTGTCTCTTGTGGACTTGTTTTCATTTTCTTCAGTTTCAGTTTGAATTTGCATATGAGTCTGTTCTACAGTCTGCCCCTGGCCTTATTTTTACTGATGATATGGAGCTTTTCCATTGTCTCTTTCCACAGATGTAGTCAATTTGATTTCTATATATTCCATCTAGCGAGGTCCATGTGTATAGTCATCTGTTATGCTGTCTAAAGAAGGTATTTGAAATGAACAAATCATTGATTGTACAGAATTCTATCATGTGATCTCCAGCATCATTTCTATCACCAAGGCCCTATTTTCCAAACTACCGATCCTTCCTCTATGCTCCCAACCTTTGCATTCCAATCACCAGTAATGATCAATATATCTTGATTGCATGTTTGATCAATTTCAGATTGAAGAAAAAATTGGTAGAATTCTTCTGTTTCATCCTCAACTGGCTTTAGTGGTTGCTGCATAAATTTGAATAATAGTAGTATTAACTGGGCTTCTCTGTAGGCGCATATATATCCTATCACAGATAGCATTGTACCTCATGACTGATCTGGATATGTTCTTTCTGACAATGAATGCAACACCATTCCTCTTCAGTTTGTCATATGGCATAGTAAACCATATGGTCATCAGATTCAAAATGGCCAGTACCAGTCCATTTCAGCTCACTAGTGCCTAAGGTATCATCTGTCAGTTTGTCATACTGTGGTGGCTTGTGAGTTGCTATGATTCTGAAAGCTATGCCACCGGTATTTTAAATACCAGCAGGGTCACCCAATGTGGACAGGTTTCAGATGCGCTTCCAGACGAAGACAGACTAGGAAGAAGGAGTGATGAACTACTTCTGAATATTTAGTCACTGAAAACCTTATGGATAGCAGAGAAACACTGTCAGACACCATATTCACCAGTTAAAGATTTTACTAGGAAGGTTATCAGGTTACAATACAGAATCAGAACATGCTCAGGACACAGTTCTTCCAGTCAGGACAGCCTCTGTTTAGCCATGCCCACCAACAGGCCTCTCTGCTTGCACAATGTTACACAGCTCTTTTAGGGCCCCTGATAAGTACTCATAGGGCACGCCACTCCACTAATTACGGCTCAGCCTGAAGGCACTTGGCTCTAGTCATGGGTCAGCAAACCTAGCTGCCTCAATCAAGTGTTCAGAGGGACCTCAGTCTGCAAACAAGCCTCTCTGCTCAGAGTCACTCAGCTTTACTTGTCCTGTGGTCCTGGAAGCCCACTGCTCTGTCTTGTGCTCTGGCTCTTACTTCTGGTGCTGTGCTCCTCTGCCACTCCTCTGGTGTCACAGCTTTCTGTCCCTGGGATGAGGAGATTCAATGTGCAGGGATCTTGACTTTCCAAAGGACACACGCCACTCCTGGATCATCTTTGATGGTAGTGAGATTCCCCATTCCGGCTTCTGAATTCATTTTATACACGTTCGAGTTCTAAGATTTTACTGTCACAGTTAATTCTGTTACCCACTCACAACTGAATCCTATCCTACCAGCATCTTCTCTCACCTTCTCTTACCCATAACCAGCAGGGATAAACGTTGTTTGGTGGGAGTTACAAGACTGTGACTAGAAGAGCCATTAAATAATCCACTACATTGCAAATAGTAACTAAAGAGCTTGAATAGTACAGGCAGCCCATGGGTTAGGAATGTCCAATTTATGTACAACCCATAGTTATAAACCAAACCCATAAAAATGTTATGAAAATTTCAAAGAGTATGCAATAGCTTGTAATAACAAATGGGTATTACTTTGTAACATGCATCAAATTATTGTGTATTATGTTAAGGATGTTGTAGTATATCTATGTTTTTAAAATTTTTTATGCATAGAAAGGCACACTATACCATATACTAAGACATACCTTTCACTAACTAACATTGGATATGAACTGTACCTAACTGTTCCAACTTACCTATCAGTTGACTCAAAGACAGACTGAGCAGTGACATGAATAAATATTCTCTGTTCATTGTAGCATTACTCATAATAGTAAGAAGTCAGAAACAACCCAAGTGCTCATATATACAATGATATACTACATATCTATATAGATTAATGAAGAGTCCACAAAACATAGCATGGATCAAGCTGAAGGACATTGCGCTGAGTGAAATAAGTCAGTCACAAAAGGACAAATATTATATGGTCTTACTTTTATAAAAAGTCAGTAATAAGTATACACAAAGAAAGCAGTGGTCTTTGCTAGTTACCAGGGATGGGAGGGGGAATCACTTTCTAGATAATTGTTGTATGCTGTCAAGTCGGTTCCAAGTCATAGCGACCCTGTATACGATTTCTAAGGCTGTAAATCTTTTCAGGAGTATCTTTCTCCTGTACAGCAGCTGGTGGGCTTGAACTGCTGACTTTGTGACTAGCAGCCCAATATGTAACCAACTAAGATTGAAGTTGTCAAGGACTTCATTCTTCTTGGATCAACTATCAACACTCAATGGAAGCAGCAGTCGAGATCAAATGACGTATTGCATTAGGCAAATCTGCTGCACAAGACCTTTTGAAAGTGTTGAAGAGCAAAGATGTCAGCTTGAGGATTAAGGTGTGCCTGACACAAGCAAGCCATGGTATGTTCAGTCACCTCATATGCATGCGAAAGCTTGACAGTGAATAAGGAAGACCGTAGAAGAATTGATGCTTTTGAGTTACGGTGTTGGAGGAGAATATTGAAAAGTGCCATGGGCTGCCAAAAGAACCAATAGATCCATTTTGGAAGTGCAGCCAGAATGCTCCTTGGAGGCCAAGATGGCCAAACTTCATCTCTCATACTTTGGACATATTGTCAGGAGACCAGTCACTGGAGAAGTATATCATGTTTGGTAAGGTGGAGAGTCAGAGAAAAGGAGGAAGACCCCCAACGAGATGGATTGACCAAGTGGCAGCATCGATGGACTCAAGTGTGGCAACAATAGTGAGGTTGGCCCAGGATTGGGCAGTGTTTCGTTCTGCTGTGCATATAGTCGCTGTGGGTCGGTACTGACTCGATGGCAACAACAGCATCATATACCACCAGTTGTTGTTGTTTTTAAATGCCGTCGATTCCAACCCATAACGACCCTGTATAGAGTTTCCGAGGAGCAGCTGGTGAGCTTGAACCACCGACCTTGCAGTTCAAATGGCTTTGCAGTCTGGCGCATTAACCACAGCACCACACCAGAACTCCATACCACCAGTAGACACTTGTTATTTTTGATAATGGTAAAGGCAGTACTCCGTATGGGGGATGTCTGTACCACTTGTCCAAGGTAAATGAAGACGCTGGAGAAAGACCTGGCAGTCTGCTCCCTTCAAGATTATATAGCCTAGGGAATTCTGGGGGCACTTCTGTATCCTACACGGTCACTATGAGTTAGAGCCGACTTAACCGCATACAGCAGCAGCACCAGGGTTACTTTTGAATAGAATGATTCCATTATGTGTGGTGTACATATTTTTACAATTTACATCTTCTTTGATTATTTTGTATTCTGTGTGGAAAGAAAAACAATCTGTTTAATTGTAGATTAAATCATAATATTATGTGTTATTATTTTCTAGAGATGTTTCATAATTATTTTCCTGTTTTGAAATTGTACATCCAAATTCTTATTAAATTTTGGGCAATGATTATCAGCAGTAGACTAGTAGATCATACCTGAATATAGAATACTCTCATTTTAACAAACAGACAAGAGCATCAGTCTTTGCTGGAAAAGTTATCTGCACTGGAGAAGAAGGTGATTGTTGGTGGTGTTGATTTATTGGCAAAAGCTGAGGAACAAGAGAAACTTCTTGAAGAATCAAATATGGAACTGGAAGAAAGACGGAAAAGGGCAGAACAGCTTCGCAGAGAACTTGAGGAAAAAGAGGTAACGTGACTGAGGTTTGATTTATTCTTCATCTAAAATATTTAACTTTTCAAGTGAAAAACTAATTATATTTTTAATGAATTTTTTAAAGATTATAGATTTCTTTGAAAGATAATAGTTGCTAAACACTGGTATCATTTATAAAACAAATTTGTGATTTATTGAAGAACATTATTCTGAAGTTTACCAATTTTTGTCATAGCAAGAACGCTTGGATATTGAAGAAAAATATACCAGCTTACAAGAGGAAGCACAGGGAAAGACCAAGAAATTAAAGAAAGTTTGGACTATGTTGATGGCTGCAAAGTCAGAGGTTGGTGTCTTAAAAGTAACCTACTAATTTGTTGTTAGGGCCTTCGAGTCGGTTTCATCTTGTTGTTTTTGTTAGGTGCTGTTGAGTTGGTTCCAACTCACAGCAACCGTATGTACAGCAGAACGAAACACTGCCCAGCCCTGGACCATCCCCCAAATTACTGCTACCCTCAAATCCATTGCTGCTGCCATTGTGCCGGTCCATCTTGTTGAGGATTCCCTCTTTTTTGCTGACCCTCCACTTTATCAAGCATAATGTCCTTCTCTAGGGACTGGTCCCTCCTGATAGTATGTCTGAAGTATGAGAGATGAAGTCTGGTTAGCTTGGCTTTTCCAAGATGCATTCTCGTTACTCTTCTTTGAACACAGAATTGTTTGTTCTTTTGGCAGTCCGTGGCACTTTTAACATTCTTTCCCAACACCATAACACAAATGCATTAAATTTACAGTCTTCCTTATTCATTGTCCAATTTTCACATGCATCTGAGGCTATTGAAAACACCATGGTCAGGTGCACTTTTGTCCTCACGTTGAAATCTAGTTCATAGTGACTGTGTATAGGGTGTCTGAAGCTATAAATTTTCACAGGAGCAGAAAGCCTCATCTTTCTCCCAAACCTGCTAATGGAGCTCTAAATTTATTTTTTTTTAAAAAAAGAAATTTCTTAGATTAAATACGAAGAGGCCTGGTTTGACACTGTAGGATATGCACTGGACTGCTAACTGCAAGGCCAACTGTTCAAACTCAACAGCTGCTCCTCAGAAACCCTATGAAGGGTTACTTTGCATCGGAAGCAACTCAACGGCTCTTAACAAAAACAAGATTCCTAAAGGAAATATAATATGTTCTTACAATTTTAAAGAGAGAAAATATTTCCCTCATAAGTGCAATTTAAATTTTTAGCTATTAAGCTGAAATTGTTTCTTTTCACACCTTCACTAACATGGATTGGATGGTAAGAGGTAAATAATCTCACTCGCTGTGTTTTTGTAAAAGAACCAGGTAAACTCTCCGAGCAAGATTCCTTACGCCACTGTCCTAGGCAGAGGGAGCTCTTCTGTTTTTCACATCTGCTTGTTTATAATATTTTCATGACTTTTCTGATAGATGGCCGATCTCCAACAAGAACATCAGCGGGAAATTGAAGGCCTGCTAGAGAACATTCGACAACTTAGCCGGGAACTTCGACTTCAGATGCTAATTATTGATAACTTTATACCTCAGGATTATCAGGTGACAGGACATTTTCTGACATACACATTAGGTCATTTGACTGGTTAGGCTAAGGAACAAGGAAATATAATATCTGTTTTGATTGACAGTAAATATTTACATTTCATTTACTGAACATTTTCTTGAACTAATACCATCACATTTCATTTCAGTTAACTTTTCTTAGCTCATAATTTTCTATTTGAATATTTTGGGTATCCAAATAATTTCTGAACCATTTGGAGGAACTCAGATTCATGTTACTGCACTCAAAATCAAGGTTGTTCATTCATTCAACACCTTTATCACATAAATAGAATAAACAAAAGTCCTGTGCGAATGAGGTTTCCCCCTGCTTATGGATGTTAATCCTCAATACTACTCAGTACTAGTGTAATTTTAAAATCTGAGCTGCTATTTTTTAGCCACAAATTTCCATCTTGCCAGTTTATTTTTTTAGACTCTAGCTTACTGGCTTAAAAAATTTGTTTGTAGAGTCTCAGTACAGCTTTTAGAAATTTGTCAAAAAATAAGGCATGCTATTTTATTTTTTGACTGCAGGAGCACAGAATTGATTAAATAAATCCTGATGCATGATACCCTTTCCTTATTGGTCCTTAGGTGGCCTGGTTTTACTTATTTTATAATGAACTCTTAGGAACTAATCACCTAAAATGAAAGCTAGGACTTTGACAGTAGCTTACATCTAACCTTCTTTTATCACATTCCTTTACTTCTTCCAACCCAACCATCCTGAGTCCCACATTCCTCATTCCCTCGTTTTTTTTCATTTATGTGGTATAACTAAAGTATAAATATTTATATCTTAGTTTTCAGTGTACAAAAAGGGTTTCATACAATATATGATTTTTAAAGACCTACCTTTTTCACTTAATGTTATTAAGGTTTTAGTCCCATGATTATTTTTCAATATTTTAAATGTTATTAAATATTAAAAGTAGACTTTAACCTCTTTTAAAAGGAAATGATTGAAAATTATGTCCACTGGAATGAAGACATAGGAGAATGGCAGCTAGTGAGTATTATCTTTATTTCATGAAATGTTTTCAGAGTACTTCCTATGGACTAGGAAAAATGTGCTGGCTACCATTGGGAGGAAGGTGGCACTGAGATGAATCAGATGAGAATTCAGTAGGGAGGAGTACTAACGCTAAAGCAGAAGTGATGTAGTGGAGAAGGCATAGGTCAGGGGATACACGGGACTGACTGACATGTCACTTTCTGCTCGAGTATGCCAGTCAAGATTTTCAAATAATAACTTCAGGAATCTGTTTTATTCACAGTATAAAGACAACTTCTAATCAAGACAACTCTCTCTTCCCCCTTTTTTTCCCCTTTTTTGAGAAATGTGTCGCCTATACAGGAAATAACATGAGGAAGCAGACTCCAGTACCTGATAAAAAGGAGAAAGATGTAAGAGTGCTTTTTGTATTTGTGTGTGTGCTGACTCTAGTTTCTTCTGTAGAAATGTGAGCCACTAAATTGTATCAACCTAAGATGTGGTAGTCAGCTGTATGAAAACTGGACTGATCTTTTGAGAAAACAGACAGATTAGAGTGATTGTTAGGACCTGCCCATTCCTGTTCAGTGATAGGCTCATATCTACCATAAGAGTGCCATGGAGGCGATCTTTGGGAATTTTTCCTCTTGGGGTCATGGGACTCTGGTTAGAGACTGGGATGTGTGTTTCTTCTTTTTCAGATCTGCCCTAGTTTTAGGTTAATAAGAAGTGGTAGCAGCTTTAAGGAAATTTTAGATCAGGGCTTCTTCGTTTATCCAACTCTTGGTAAATAAATTTTAGGTATCAGGATTAGAAGAAGATATCTTAGAAGTGTTTATTTGGTCTTGTCTTCTACGCTTTTTAATCCAGGAGTTTATTCAATATTTAAAATCTTCCTCCAAACTGGCTTCACATTTTCCTTTAAGATTGCCTTGTTGCTGTTTCTTTTATTTAGCCCTTTGAAGTGGACCTTTCCCATGTGTATCTCGCCTACACAGAGGAGAGTCTGCGGCAGTCCCTGATGAAATTAGAAAGGCCACGAACTTCAAAGGGAAAAGGAAGGCCAAAGACAGGGAGAAGGTAAGACTGGCCTTGAGTCCCAGAAAATGAAACCATGGGATATTTTAGCTCGATACATTTCCGGAAAATGAACATTTTCTCACCTACCGTAACAAATAGTTTTGGCTGAAACATTAACATAGAAATCAAATTAGAAACTAGTTTATTTATGAAATACTAGGTAAATTTTAAAGTTCTTATGTAGTTGCAATTTGAATAAATAAAACCTGGCTAAAGAACTAAAATCTTTTCAACTTCTCTAGCCCTCCTGAGTAATAGAATGTATTTCTATAGTTTATTTTGTTTATTCTAAATACCAGAAGCTTCAAATAGTTCATGGGAAGATGCCAGTTTCTTTTTTTTGCCATTTTCTTTTTTTTCTTTTTTTTGCCATTTTCTTTTAATTCTATTTTTTCACACTTTTTGAAGCCCCCTCATATAGACTAGATCACCTGCTATCTCGTGTAATTTCGTAATTATTACACTTAATTCTTCTGCTCATCAGCTTTTATAAGTGTTTCTACTTCTGTAGCACCTCATTTCTAAGGAGAAGTCAGAAATTCAGATTATTTATGTGAAATCTCTCAACTTTTCACCACATACTTAGTTTTAAACTGTGTGGACCTAAAACGAGCAAATAATTTGATACAACTTTGGAGATAGTTCTCAGAATACTCATTTTAAAATACAAGGGACCTTCAAAATATTTGTGGAAAAATTCCATTCCATTTCCTCTCCATATTTCCACAAACTTATTTAAGCCCCGTCATGTATACTTTTTTGTTTTAACCGAAAAAAAAAATTAGTGGGTCAACATTGTTGTTGCTATTAACAGTCCTGACTCATATAGCAAACCTATATAGGGCTTCCAAAGAGTGGCTGGTGGGTTTGAACCACTGACCTGCAGTTAGCAGTCCATTGCTTAGTCTAGAGCATGCGAGCCAAAGCCAGCATATCTTTATACCAGTATTAGCCTGTTTGTCATTAAAACCCTAAGAAAATAACATGGTGGTCGTTGTTATTAAGTGCCTTGGAATCAGTTCCAACTCATAGCATCCCTGCATAGGGTTTCCAAGGAGCAACTTGGTGAATTTGAACCACCAGCCTTGCAGTTCAAATTGACCTTGTGGTCCAGTGCATTATCCCACAGCACCAGCACCTTAGGGTTTCTAAGGCTATAAATCTTTGTGGGAGCAGAAAGTTTCATCTTTCTTGCACATGGTGGCCTTAGGCTAATTAATACACACAATAAATGGTTTATTTATATTACACTGTATTATATGTTTTGTTCAATGTTATGTACCTCATTAGCAATGTATATTTTAATGTGATGAGCAAAATAACTGTAAGCACAGTGTGTTAATATAGCATTTTCATCAGTTCCTACATAGACAAGTATGCTGGTGGTGGTGGTTATATGCTGTGGAGTCGGTTGCGACTCATAACGACCCTGCATAGGGTTTCCGAGGCTGTACATCTTTACGGGAGCAGAAAGCCTCATCTTTTTGTGAAAAATTACATCAGGTAGTTGTGTCTCTGAAATTTCCCAAGTAAACCTTTAATAATTTAGCATACCACAGAAAGAGAAAATCAAGGTTTTAGTCAAGTGTTGGAAATTATCATCTACCCAGCCCCTCACCAATCTGGGTGTGGCATCATCTTTTTACACCTGTTTCTGGTGACCTTCCCCAAGCCTGCAAAGGTGTGGGCATGAATTGGTCACTTACATCAGTGGTAGGGAACGTCTGGCCCAAAGGCTGTATTGTTGTTGTTTAAGTGAATTCATTTGGTCTAGCCCTGCCAAGGCAGCCGCAGTTCCAGCCATCACATTAGAGGTGAGTTAAATGTTGGGCCAGATATAACAGGCTATTTTTTATTTTTTAATTTTTTTTTTAGTGTTTTATTGTGGATTATATGATAGTTTACATGGGAGAACATTAGTTTTACATTCATTCTATCATACATCGTATCATTGAACAGGCTAATTTTTAAGTTGATAATATTGTACGGCCTGTGAATGGTATTATAACTATCCAAATGGCCCTTGGCAGAAAAAAGGTTCACCAGACCTGACTTACATGGTCAACCATTGGCCTGTATTTCCAGACTCTGGCCACTTTGTTTATCTGCTGCCCAGTGTTGGAGTGTTTGCATTTCAGTCTTATAGGAAAGTTTTTGTTTTGTTTTGTTTTTTCTTTCTCATAACAGAAAGCGTTCTACAAAACCCGAAACTGTAATTGACTCTTTACTTCAGTAAATGTTCATGGACTTAAAATCAAGAAAAAAATTACTGATAATCTAATTCCTGGGCAGAACCTCTAACTAAAACACTGAAGACATCTGTATAATATTGAATAACAGAAGCTGTAAATTGTGGAGTATGACTGGAATTTGCCTAATACCTTGTGTTTGTATATATTAAGGTAATATAACATATTAAAATCATACAAGTAGTGATTGTTCATAGTGTTCTGTTACTCTTCAGTTTTGGGGAGCAACTCATATTCTTGAGAGCTGAAATTTGATGCATACCTAAATCTTCTAGCCACTTACCCAACTACTTTATATTTAGATAACCAGAATTGTAAAAATGTAAGTCCTGTTTTTGCCCATGTAAACTAGCAGATCAAATTTGTCCTGTGTTGCACTGTTACATTTGTTTGGGCTGTACATCTAAGAAATGACTCAATCCTAATACTAACGTGCCAGGCCTATTTAAATGTATGCTTAATTTTCATGCTAACTTTCATTACATTCTAAGTATGAGATAACTAATCTGATAAGTCTTCTGTAAAAAAAAAAAAAAATATGTAATTTGACAGTCAATCTTTGGAAGTATACATGTTACAAAAAAAACCAAAATTATTGAAAACATGTTTCATCTGACTCTCTTCTGACCTTTTTTGCCACTTTGATTTCAAGTCAAATATGCTTTTTTTGTTATGGTTACATATCTCTTCAAATACTGAATTATACCTAAATATAAAGGAGCCACAGTTGCCAAAAATTAAGAAGTTAAATACTGTTTACTTAATCTTTGTGTGTATTTTGTTTTATCTTAATTCTCTTGAAGTATGATGCTTGAACACTTTCCTGTATCTTAGTTTTTAAAGTTTGATGGCAGTTGCTCTGTCTCCCAATTGAGAAGGGTCTCCATTTTCCAGAAAACTCAACTACGTAAGAAAGACAACTTTGTTTCGGTTTGCTCATATTTTGTAAAAAGAAAATAATCTTCCATAAGCTTCTTCTATTGACTAAACTATAGAGTCCTATTCCTGTAAAAATAAAAATTCTCTTTATTTTGTAGTAAGGTAAGTTGTAATTGATAACATTTGGTTTTACTTTGTTTTGAAAGTTATGCTGCTATTAGACCACTTGATACGTCCTTTGTGAGTTTTGAAATTGTATAATTGGTTCTGGAACACATTGGTTGCAAATGTTGTGAAATATAAATTGGTACTTGTTCAGTTTCCATTGTTTTAATAAGTTTGTCTAGACACTGCCTTCCAGTTGAAAAGTTTGTACAGAGTGGGCCTGATTGGGGCCCCGGGAAGGTGATAATGGTAAAGTGCATCCGTGAGTTGAAAGGGCATTTCCAAGATCGACTCCTGAGTGCCCTGTGTAGGATGAGGATTTTCTAGGTAATACAGATTGTGTTTTAGTTATCAGCAATTTCTTTGTAGTGTGTAAGATAATTCAGAGTTCATAACTGTCGTTCTCGGTGGGGCATTTTTCAGGTACTGTGAAGATGAGGTAAATTTATGTCTTGTGAAAAAGCTTTATGTTAGCAGAATACTTTACCACTTGTAAAATGTTTTTGATGGTGCACATTTATTTCTGTTAATAATTCCTCTGGAGAAATTGTAATTTCACCCATGGGGGAGAAAGGTTAATATTTCTTCTTTTAAAAAGTCCACATTTCTAGCCTTTACCAATCTAGTTCATAGAAAATGGATAACTTTTGAGTTGCACTGTGAAACATTATAGAAAATTTAAGCCAGTATGTTGAATTTTTTTTCTTTTCTACTACTGCGATGATAAAAAGAAATTTGTAGAATGACAAGACATTGAAGAACCATTATAAAACATGCTGTTCTTCTGTCTTGTTTAGACCATTTACATCAGAACTGACTATACCAGATAACATTAAAGATTCATTTTATGAGACACCAAAATTAGATATTCAAGCCAGGCCTGAATAACTCTGTGGAAAAAGCAGAGGCACTGACTTGAGGCTGTTCACTGAGTTCCAATCATAGCAGTCCTGTGGTTATCTTCACATTTATTGTGTCTTTGACCACAAATGAAATATTTGTGACTTCAGTGTTAATTTTATAACAAGCTGTAGGTGAAAACACTTAATTGTTATCTGAAATAAATATGCAGATTTAAAACAAATTGCACATACATATAGATAGGTTATTAAATGAATAATCTTCACTTTTCCTTTTAATTTAAAAAGTGGTGTTTATTTATTAAAAGGAGCCTTGGTAGCATTTACTGGTTTATGGGGTGTTCTGCTTTAATAAACTCTATAGTTGCATATATTAAACTTTAGAGTATTGAAATCTGATAGTATTCCTTATTTTTGTTTAGATTGATTAGGGTGGTATCTACATGTTTATCCTGTTAAGTAGAATCCATTTGACAAGATATCACTATTTTCTGGAAAAAGAGGGATTTTTTTTTTCCCAGCAAGCAATTTAAAGCTACTTCTTGAAATGGGGAGGTACTACTTTATCTGTAGTATGTTTCAAAATTGTGATTATGATTTTCTGTGTGGGTTGTTTTGGAGTAGATTTTTTTTTTGTTTTTTGTTTTTTTTCTTGTTTCTTTTTAGTCTGTTTTGAATATCTCTTTCCCCTAAACACTTATGTTAGGGAAAGTCCCTCTCTTTCCTACAAGGCTGTGAATTAAGGAATGGGTAGAGTTTACATTTCAGCACACCAATTGTTTCTGCCCAGTTTCTTAATGTGTTTTCCATTTAAATTCTTCCTTGTTCTTAGAATGATAGAAGAAATTATTGATCTCCTAGTGCCTTTGAGCTTATACTGCAGTCTAATTCAAATCACTAACAGCTTCAGTAGCATTACTCTAATACTGTATACAGGTTAGAATTACAAAATGTACCAATGCGTTTGATGCACTAAGTTCAAAAGCCACACTTCCATTGTATTTTATGTATAAGTTGTATTTGTTTTTAAGTTGTATATATCTATAATGTATGTGTGCATGAGCCATGGTTATATCAGAAATAAAAATCTTTGCCTAATGCCTGCAGTGCTCTGTTGCTTTTTGTAACTGTTGTGTGTCCGCCCATCCTGATCTTCATGGGCAGGTTCATCATGTGTGGCATCTCAGTTTTTATATATATATATATGGTTAAGAGAGGCCTGTGTAAACTCACATCATAACCTCCTCATACTGTGGGTCTTGAAAACAGAAATCGTCATGAAACAGAAACCCGAGAGAGCTGTTTTTAAATATGCTTTTTCCTCACTGATAACATTGATTTTTCACCAAAAATTTTTCATCCAAATGTGTCATCCTTTTCATTAAGTTTTTGAGAGCAGAAACCAGTTCTCTAACTTGAGATGTGTGTATGCAGAACGTCTCTCACTGAAAGGTAAAAAGAGACATGGCTTGGTAGTTACAATGTTGTGGTCTCATTCAGAAACTTGTAAGGAGCTTAAATAGTTCTAAAACAATAATACGTGGACTGTTGTGAATCATGGCTTCTTTTGACAAGCATTTCTTGATTATCAGGCACTCTGCTAGGCAGCCTTAAGAAATTTCACAGTAGACATTGAGTTTTGATTTGTCATCAAGTTTTCAAGGACTTTAATGGGTTTTTCTGAAATTGCTGTGCCATCGAAGTCGGTTCCGACTCATAGCGATCCTGTATAGGGTTTCTGAGGAGCAGCTGGTGAGTCCAGTGCTGATCCTATAGGTGAGGAGAAAACTCTTGGGGCCATTGCAAAATTGGCTCATTTTCTTTGCCCAGCTGCCAGCTTATGTAAAAACCCTACTTGTCCATAGAACAAGAAAGTAAAGTTAAAGCCCGGCAGTGGCTGACGCTACCCTTCCCACCAATTTGGAGCTCTGATGCCTGCTTTCATGAAGCAGTACCACTAAGGAACACTTTTAGGAGGCCTCTTACTACTGCCGATGTTGGTACGATGCTGCTGAGGACATTGTCCAACATATCTTCTTGTGAAGATCCACAAGAGAAATCTCTTTTAAAGCTGAGTACTAGCTTAAAGGACTGTTTTTCTGCCTGGGTAAAAGAATGGTTTTAATTTTTTCCTTCAGCTGACAAGACATATATATGAGATCGAATGGCCTACTTACCTCGTAGTCAGTGTTTTTACTTCAGATTGCCATGTCCAACTCCCTATGTAGTGCCCTGGTGTGGCGCTGTGAGTTAACGCACTGGACTACAAAGTCGTGTGAACAGCAAGGTTGGCAGTTCAAGCCCACCAGCCGCTCCTTAGAAACCCTATACAGGTCGCTAGGGGTCAGAGCCGACTCGATGGCACTTAAGAACAACAATCCCCAATCTAGAGTCCTGGTGTAGTAGTGGATTAATGAACTGGACTGCAAAGTTGTTTGAACAGCAAGGTCGGCAGTTCAAGCCCACCAGCCGCTCCTTAGAAACCCTATACAGGATCGCTATGGGTCGGAACTGACTTGACAGCAGTTAGCAACAACAGCAATTTCAGAAAAATTGTTTATTTCAGGAGTCCGGGTGTGACGCTGTAGGATACGCACTGGACTGCTAACCACTGCGTCAGCATTTCAAACCCACCAGCTGCTCCTCGGAAACCCTGTATAGAATCGCTGTGGGTCGGAACCTATTCCGTGGCACTTAACAATAGCAACAACAACAATTTTGTCATTTTCTTACAGTCTTTGAATTCGTTTTTAAATCAGGGTTATAATGAAGATAGGGTAATAAATACAGCTAATAATTAAGACCACAACTTGCCTGTGTTTTGCTGGAATGGTTAGTACAATTCTGAAGCCACAGCCTAAACATATGAGGGGACTTCAAAAAGTTTGTGGAAAAAAATTGCATTATCTCTCAATTCCATTTTTCCACGAACTTTTTGAAGCCCCCTCATAAAGCTAGCCATAGGAACATTTCACACACTCATTGTATCATTATCTTAAATTTCTCATTCTTAAGCTGTTTCATTTGCAAAGCAAATCAGGTATTCCATCCTGGTTCGGAAGTTGAACAAATGTGTGAGAAAA